CTTAATGCAACTACACCTTGATGAATTCATGTTTTTAGGGAGTTCTCGACTACTTTGAAGGGATCAACCCGATAGTGGTTCGCCAAGCTCAGCCCAGCATCTATTGGCTCCTTTGCTGAGTTAAGCAGATCCTTTGTGTCACACTTCATTGGAGGGCATCACCACTAGAAGTCTGCCACCCACCTACTCAGTATAAAGTAGGGATCGAGACGAGAGCTTGAGGAGCTATCTCACTTGTTTCAACGAGGAGGTCCTCTAGATCGAAGAACCCGATGATAAGGTCACCATGACTGCCTTCTCGGGAGGCCTCTGATCATTGAGATTCCTATTCTTAGTGATGAAGTGCCCACCAAATAGCATATCAGAACTACTAGCGAAAGCCCAAAAATACATGAACACTAAGTACATCACCAAGCCCAAGCGAGGTGAATCCTTACGAATAGAGGAGAAGAGAAAGGAGAGAGATAGAGAAGACAATAAGGAAAGTGGAAACAAACGAGGCAGGACAGAAAGGGTGTCTGTCAAAGACTGACTTGGTCTTACCCCTCAGAGGGAGCAACAAATCTTCACTCCCCTCAACGCCACTGTCGGGCACATCCTATTCTAGATACAGGATGACCCCGCAGTGAAGTGGTCAGGGAGAATGAAATCTCCCTCAAACTACAAGAATCCAAACAAATATTGTCGCTTCCATCGTGATCACGACCACGACATATACAATTATTATGATCTCAAATAACAGATTGAGGAGCTCATACAACGTGGTTAACTACGCCAGTATGTTGCTAGTAGGGGTTAGACATCGCCACCGCCTCATAATTAAGAGTATCAGTAATCCATTGGAGAAATTCACACTATCTCCAGGGGGCTCGCAGGAATCTACGCCCATCCAAGGTGCCTAAGCAAGGAAACGATAAGGTCATATCTTTTTCAGACAAGGACCTGGAAGGAATTCAGCACCACCACAAGACCCTCTGGTGCTAACCATGACTATGGCCAACTTTCAGGTATGAAAGATTCTTGTAGACAGCGGCAGCTCTGCAAACATCTTGTTTGCAGAAGCTTATAACAAGATCAACCTAGGGAGAAAAAGACTATAACTCATCAGGTCGCCGCTCATCAAATTCTCAAGGGAGAAGGTGTATCCCCTACGGTCTATCACCTTGTTAGTCATCGTCGGCACGGCACCTCGGAGCTCCACAGTCCTGGTGAACTTCTTGGTGATAGACTGTCCGTCAGCCTATAACGTCATCTTGGGGCGACCTACTCTTAACACCTTAAGATTCGTACCCTTCACTTATCATCTAATCCTCCATTTTATAACTCCAAATAGAATCGGAGAGGTCTGAGGAGCTCAGATTGTTACAAGAGAATGTTACATCTCCTCCATGAAGACCAAAAAGCCACAAAAACACTACAGGTGGAGGTACTAGACCCTAGAAATGATGCCGCATTAGAGAGACGAGAACCAGTAGAGGAGCTCACACCAATGGTCCTGGACGAGAAACATCCAGACAGAAAAATGTACATTAGTTCCTCTCCTCCTGAGAATTTAGTCCAATAGCTCACCAATTTTCTGAGGCGCAATATGAACATGTTTTCATGGTCGCAAGAGGACCTCGAAGGCATCGACACTGAGGTCACCACATATTGCTTCAATGTTGACCCTCATTACAAACCTATTCGCTAAAAACTAAGGAGCGTCTCCACTAAAAGGGCATAACCGATGGATAAAGAAGTGGGAAAGCTAATAGAAAATGGGGCAATCAGAGAAGTAGCCTATCTAGTTTGGCTATCAAATGTGGTGAAGGTGACCAAAGCTAATGGAAAGTGATGTCTCTGTGTCGACTTCACCAAACTCAACAAGGTGTGCCCTAAAAACAGTTATCCGCTACCACGAATCGACCTCCTCATCGACGCCACCATAGGTCACGAGCTACTCACTTTCTTGGACGCATACTCTGGGTATAACCAGATCAGCATACATCCCCCAAACTAGGAGAAGACATCCTTTATCAATCCAAAGGGGACCTATTGCTACGAGGTCATGCTCTTTTGACTGAAAAATATGGGACCGACCTACCAACAAATGATGAACAAGATGTTCCAGTCATAGATTGGAAAGACAATTGAGGTGTACGTGGACGACATGTTAGTAAAGACCCTCGCCGCAGCAAACCATGTAGAACACCTTCAGAAAACATTCAATGTTCTCAGGTCATACCATATGAAGTTGAACCCTGAGAAGTGCGCATTTGGTGTCAGATCAGGAAAGTTATTGGGCTTCATGGTCAACCAGAGGGGAATTTAGGCTTCATTTAGAAAACATTCAATGTTCTCAAGTCATACCATATGAAGTTTAACCCTGAGAAGTGCGTCTTTGGTGTCAAATCAAGAAAGTTCTTGGGCTTCATGGTCAACCAGAAGGGAATTGAGGCGAATCCTAATAAGATCAAAGCTATCCTGGACATGAAATCACCCACCACAACCAAGGAGCTCCAACGCCTCAACGGAAGAATCGCAACACTCAACAGATTTGTTTTCAAATCTGCAGATAAGTGCTTGCCTTTTTTCAAGATTCTCCGGAAAGCCTTTGAGTTGGGACCTGAAGCAGAAGAAGCTTTTCAAAAGCTCAAAGCTTATTTGGCTACGACTTTCCTACTTTCACATGCCACGCCAGGTGAAGCTTTGTATTTGTACCTCTCTACTTCCCCGTCGGCAATAAGCTTCGTCCTCATCAGGAACAATAAAGGAGTGCAAAAGCTTGTTTATTACGTGAGTAGAGCATACCAAGGAGCAGAAATAAGATATTTTAGGTGAGTTTGATGTCTAGTACCAACCAAGAGCAGCCATTAAAGCACACAAGCCTTGACGGACTTTGTTGTCGAGCTCACACAGGTAGATGAAGAGGGCAACAGACCCTCGACACTTCAGGAAGCCTCATCAGAAACTCATCTAGACACTCAGGCACCAAGGTTTGGTGCCCTGCAAGGGTGCCCAGGGCATCCTAGCACCAACATTAGGCCCCTTGACGTCCCCACAGCCTCCAAGGCCCACTTTCTATCGTCTCCCTAGAAGCTCTATAATGATGGCTCTTTGACCAATGAAGGAGGTGGAGCAGGCCTAATCCTGACCAGCCTGAATGACACTCCTATCAAGAATGCCATGAAGCTCCACTTTACAGCCTCCAACAATGAGGCAGAATATGAAGCTTTCCTCTCTAACTTAAGGTTGACAATTGAAATGGGAGCCCAAAACCTCAACACTTATAGTGACTCTCAGTTGATAGTCAACCAAGTGAAGGGTGAGTTCAAAACAAAAGGAACCAAAATGTAGGAGTGTCTTGCTATGGTGCAAGCCTTGTTGACTAAGTTTCCCTACTTTCAAATCTGTCATATCCCAAGGGAAGATAATATCGTTGCAGATGCACTTACTAGGCTCGCCTCATCCTCGGAAGCTCCATCAGGACCAGCATTCATCGATCACTAGTTTGCACCAAGTAGGCCAGACGTGGAAGCCACTAACGTCAACTGCACATCTGTCGAATTGAACTGGATGACCCCAATAAAGGCACACCTTCAAGAGGGCGTGTTGCTAGACGACCCATTGGAAGCGAAGAAACTTAGGATGAGAGCCTCCAAGTTCACCATCCTACAGGACATCTTGTACAAAAAAAGGCTACTTCCTGCCATTCTGCAGTGGTCGTGACATTTCTTACGTGAACAATTTCATGAAGATGTAATACTTTCACCTATTCTGCAGATTACATGCGTTCCTGGGCTCCTGCTAAACTGCATTATCTTTCATATACATCCTAAAACGTTCTGGTTTTATGGAAATCCCAAACCATCACAGTTTTGCCCCTCATCTCAGATTGCTGCATTTGCTCCCCTGTCCTGAAAAGATATTACCATTGGCAAAAAATGCAACATCTTTGATACCCAATTCTATTTTCGGGGGAAAAAAAAAAAGAAACATCCATCCCGATACAGCATTTTCGCACCCTTCTTATAAACGTTTTCTATCCACTCTAGAAATGTAGCATCTTGGTCCATCTGCATAACCTTTATTCTTCCAAAAATGCAAACTTTTGTTGTTAGTTGCATTATGCTCACTAAATTTTTAATTTTGTGTCATGGACACCCTTAAATTCATTATATTTGCAGTCGAATGAAATTGGAGCCTTGTTATCCTTTATTCTACTTTAGGTTCTAGTTAGAACACAAATACTACCACATAGGGGTGGAGTTAGAGAACTCTGATAGAGTGTGCAAATTTTAATGATAAAAAATAAAAAATTGAACCACTAATACAATCCAAAATTTAAATCTTGAATAGTAATACTTTTATGCAGTTCATCCACAATTGCTATAGACCAGTTTTCATATTGTAAAAACATTACATGATAACCTCATTATTAATGCCATAAAAAAAAAATTTCATAGTCATAAAATAACTAATTTATTGTTTTAATCAATTGTTGCTATTGGATTGATCTCAACCTTAGTTGGGATCCATTGCTAATCAAAGGGTAACAACAGATAAAGATAGCTAATTAGATAAACAAATCAATTCCAAATAGTATCATCATTCTTAATGTATCCCCAGCAAATACAATGAGAGTGGGTGAGCAAGACATAAGCAGGGAGATAACAAAAAGCTTTTGGAATATTTCTTGAGAACATATTGGGCTGATTCTACTGATTAAATATTAGTTAAGTTTACCTAATTGAACATTTAGAGATTGAACCCAAATATGAAGAATGATTAAGTGGATTAGTGTGCATGAAAACTTTTTTGATGGGGGCAAGATTGGCATATATATTAAAACATATACAGGATTTTTTTCGCAAAAAAAGAAAGGTTCAGTGGGGGAGACTGCCCCCACTTAGTTGCATGTAGCTCCGCTCGTGCTACTTCATTTAGATGAGTACAAGGATATAAATGTGAATCAATACTCAGTAATTTCTATTTTCGAACTGCTTGGAGTTTTTCAATAAATGTTCACCTTTGATTCAGGTTTTCTCATCAATGAGTCTAAATTACTCTTCATTTTCTCTCTATTCATGTCAGGTTACCATTCTGGCCTCAGATAAAACTAATATTTGTCTGCTGGCTAGTAATACCTCGATTTAATGGTGCATACTATGTCTACAAAAGCCTTGTTCATCTGTGCTTATCCGTGGACCTACAAGCTGTTGTCAAGTGGTTGAATAAGCCTAAGGATGAGGTCCCTCTCAAACCCGAAACCTTCCTAGCTTTGGTTGAGACATATGTTCAAAAGTATGGTACTGAAGCATTGGAGAAACTCATAGCTAATAAGGAATCTGGCATGCCTTTATATCAGATAAAATAGGAAGTGGGCTAACTAGAAGTTTAATGGCCTGCCTTGATCACAAGTTTCTATGACGAACGCCTCAAATCCATGTGAACTATGTTTTTTTGATGAAAAAATGTTCAAACTTTTTTCTGTTGATCTTTGTGATAATATCTTGTCATTTATATATATCATACATAATTGGTCAGCCTATGCATGTCATATTTAATCATAGGATCATTTATTCTGAACTTGATATACAAGCAGCTAATATATATGACTGTCTACATGGGCATGCACTTGCATTTGTGTCTCCATGGTTAACTTACATGCACTTATATGTATAATCATATTGATTTTTTGGTTTACACTTGAATTTTAAACAATAGGCATGAGATTTTTTGTTTTGGATGCACATGGGATATGGATGACAACTCTCTCTGTACTGTTTACTTTTTTTCTTTCACTTCAGTCAAAGGATTCAAATTCCAATCTCATTGTGGAAGAGATCAAGTTAGTTGCAAATGCAGAGGAGAATGAAGTGGTGACAACAATCCAGGTAATTATTTTAATGTTGCAGCTCCTAGATTCCACAAAATAGTATATGCATATTTTCTGATAGCCAAGTGGTTGTTATCTTTTAGATGGATTTTAGAGACACCCTTAGTTTTAAAGTGAAAAAAGTATAGTACTACATTTGCATTGTATGGTGTCGTCCACAACCATTTCATTTTTAGACATATGATATGAGTAAGTAAATGGACTAAAACCATGTGGGTTCAAGCCACTCTCATCAATGAACGAATGGGCACCTGTAACTTTCGAAATCTAGCACCAGTGTCATTGAAAACATCAATTTCGCCTTCGATTTATATTAATCACTGAAGTTGCATTTATTGTTTTAATATTTTATGGACGAGAAAGTGATGAATGATGTCATATATTTTTATGTAGAATTCATTACTTAATATCCTTAATTATCTTGTTTACCTTTTTCTCTTTTTTCTGTCAAAGTTCAACGAAGCAAACATTGTTCAGAAAGATGTCAAAATTGTGGAACCAAAAGAGAAAAATGCAGCAGCAGCCGTGAAATCGGTAAGGTCGCTATTAATCGGTACTCATATTGGGAAACTAAGTTTCTAAGGTTTCTATTAATGTATACTAGAAAGCAAAGTTTCTATGTTTTGAGAAGAATTTCTAGTACTCAATATGCTTAATTAGCTGTGTTTACCTTCCACTTCTTTTTTTTTGCTTCCTATCAAAGTGCAAACAGCCAAGCATTGCTCAGAAAGATGTCAAAGCTGTGGAACCACTAGAGAAAAATGCAGCAGCGGCTGCAAAAAGGGTAAGTCTTCTATCAATGGGCACTAGGAACTTAGTTTCAAAGGCTTCTATTAACGGGTACAAGGAAGCTAAGTTTCTATGTCTTGGAAAAAATTTCTAAGTCAGCTATCTGAATGTCGGGAATGCACTTGGATTGCCCAAATCTAATGTTTTTTGATTAGTAATGCAACACGAACAATAGTGCAGATATGGAGTGAAACTGGGACCTAATATATCAAATTCTCTTCACATTTGTCATCATTGTTGCCTTTTCCATATTCATTTATTACTATATCAATTTTCTCTCCTAACAAAACATGAAAAGGATTTTTAATGGTCCAGCTATCTCACATCATTTTGCACATCGGCTTCTTGGTAGCAGCTTTGTTTCTTATATTGTTTCTAAATAGGGAAGCTATAGATTACCTACCAGTGGTTTGAACCAGTAAAGCGTTACCTCCCCGTATCATTAATATTATAAACATAACCCCTATGGTTTTGAACAAAACTCGAAACGTAAGTTAATGGTTAAAGTTCAAAATCAACATTTTTAGCGAAATTAAGTGTTAAAATAACTTTTATCGCATTATGCATTTTATGTTTCTTATTTTTCTCTAAAATAAACCAATCATTTTATCTTCTTTTCATTTCTATGCATAAAACATATTTTTAAATTTGTATAAAAATTTCACAAAGAAAAACAATTAAAAAATTAAAAACTTGGTGAACGGTATTACTGTCTTTTTTGTACTAAATTGCTGAACTTCCACATTGGTTCCCAACTATAGGGTCATGTATGGGTTTCTGAAGCACAAGGAGGTTCAGTGTTATTGAATGAAACCATGGAGACCTAATGTATATTTTGCCATTTCTAAATTAAGCAGAACCATCGAGCAAACATGGTCTTCAACCTTGCTTAGCAACTTCTACAGTTTACTAATGCTAATTCAAATTCTTTTTCAGATTGAGAAGAAAGCACTTGCAGCGGTGGAGGTCTAAGAAATGACTGAGCCAGCAGCTCATAAAGAGGACAAGCGTCGGGAGCCACCAGAGAAAAACGCAGCAGCAGCAGCTGCAAAATGGGTAGATCTTCTATCAATAGACATTAGGAAACTTAGTTTCAAAGGCTTCTATTAATGGGTACTAGGAAGCTAAGTTTCTATTTTTTGGAAAGAATTTCTAAGTCAGCTATCTGAATGTGAGGAATGCACTTGGATTGTCTAATTCTGATTTTTTTGATTAGTAATGCAACACAAACAATCGTGCAGTTATGCAGTGAAATTGGGTTTTAATATATCAATTTCTCTTCACATTCGTCATCATTGTTGCCTTTTCCAGATTCATTTATTACAATATCAATTTTCTCTACTGACAAAACATGAAAAGGTTTTTTGATGGTTCAGCTGTCTTACATCATTTTGCACATCGGCTTCTTGGTAGCAGCTTTGTTTCTTAAATTGTTTCAAAATAGGAAGCTATAGATTACCTACCAGTGGTTTGAATCAGTAATGTGTTACCTCCCCATATCATTAATATTATAAACGTAACCCCTATGGTTTTGGACAAAACTCGAACCGTAAGTTAATGGTTAAAGTTCAAAAATAACATTTTTAGCGAAATTAATTGTTAAAATAACTTTTATCGCATTATACATTTTATGTTTCTTATTTTTCTGTAAAATAAACCAATCCTTTTATCTTCTCTTCTTTTTTATGCATAAAACATATTTTTAAATTTGTATAAAAATTTCACAAAACAATTAAAAAATTAAAAACCGGTGAGCGATATTACTGTTTTTTTTTGTACTAAATTGATGAACTTTCACATTGGTTCCCAACCATAGGGTCAAGTACGGGTTTTTGAAGCACAATGAGGTTCAGTGTTATTGAATGAAACCATGGAGACCTAATGTATAATTTGCCATTTCTAAATTAAGTAGAACCATCGGGCAAACATGGTCTTCAACCTTGCTTAGCAACTTCTATAGTTTACTCATGCTAACTCAAATTCTTTTTCAGACTGAGAGGAAGGCAGTTGTAGCGGTGGAAGTCAAAGAAATGACAAAGCCAGCAGCTCATAAAGACAACGAGCTTCTGGAGCCACTAGAGAAAATTGTTGCAGCAGCTACAAAATGGGTAAGTCTTCTATCAATGGGCACTAGGAAACTTAGTTTCAAAGGCTTCTATTAATGGGTACTAGGAAGTTAAGTTTCTATGTTTTCGAAAGAATTTCTAAGTCAGCTATCTGAATGTGAGGAATGCACTTGGATTGCACAATTTTGATGTTTTTTGATTAGTAATGCAACACGAACAATCGTGCAGTTATGAGTGAAACTGGGTTTTAATATATCAAATTCTCTTAACATTCGTCATCATTGTTGCCTTTTCTAGATTCATTTATTACTATATCAATTTTTTCTCCTGACAAAACATGAAAATGTTTTTTGATGGTTTAGTTGTCTTACATCATTTTGCACATCGGCTTCTTGGTAGCAGTTATGTTTCTTATATTGTTCCTAAATAGGTAAACTATAGATTACCTACCCGTGGTTTGAACCAGTAAAGCGTTACCTCCCCATATCATTAATACTATAAACGTAACCCCAATAGTTTTGGACAAAACACGAACCGTAGGTTAATGGTTAAAGTTCAAAATCAGCGTTTTTAGCGAAATTGGGTGTTAAAATAACTTTTATGGCATTATACATTTTATGTTTCTTATTTTTCTCTAAAATAAACCAATCCTTTTATCTTCTCTTCCTTTTTACGCATAAAACATATTTTTAAATTTGTATAAAAATTTCACAAAGAAAAACAATTAAAAAATTAAAAACCCGGTGAGCGGTATTACTGTTTTTTTTGTACTAAATTGTTGAACTTCCACTTTGGTTCCCAACCATAGGGTCACGTATGGGTTTTCGAAGCACAAGGTGGTTCGGTGTTATTGGATGAAACCGTGGAGACCTAATGTGTGATTTGCCATTTCTAAATTAAGCAGAACCATCGAGCAAACATGGTCTTCAACCTTGCTTAGCAACTTCTGCAGTTTACTCATGCTAATTCAAATTCCCATTCAAACTGAGAAGAAAGCACTTGCAGCGGTGGAGGTCGACGAAATGACAGAGCCAGCAGCTCGTAAATAGGACAAGCTTCCGGAGCCACCAAACAAATATACTACAGCAGCTGCAAAATGGGTAAGTCTTCTATCAATGAGCACTAGGAAACTTAGTTTCAAAGGCTTCTATTAATGGGTACTAGGAAGCCAAGTTTCTATGTTTTGGAAGGAATTTCTAAGTCAGCTGTCTGAATGTGAGGAATGCACTTGGATTGCGTAGTTCTGATGTTTTTGATTAGTAATGCAACATGAACAATCGTGCAGTTATGCAGTGAAATTGGGTTTTAATATTTCAAATTCTTTTCACATTCGTCGTCATTGTTGCCTTTCCAGATTCATTTATTACTATATCAATTTTCTCTTTTGACAAAACATGGAAAGGTTTTTTGGTGGTTGAGCTGTCTTACATCATTTTGCGCATCGGCTTCTTGGTAGCAGCTTTGTTTCTTATATTGTTTCTAAATAGGGAAGCTATAGATTACCTACCAGTGGTTTGAACCATGTAACGCATTACCTCCCCAAATCATAAATATTATAAACGTAACCCCTATGGTTTTGAACAAAACTCGAACTGTAAGTTAATGGTTAAAGTTCAAAAACAACATTTTTAGCGAAATTAAGTGTGAAAATAACTTTTGTCACATTATACATTTTGTTTCTTATTTTTCTCTAAAATAAACCAACCCTTTTATTTTCTCTTCCTTTTTATGCGTAAAACATATTTTTAAATTTGTATAAAAATTTCACAAAGAAAAACAATTAAAAAATTAAAACCCGATGAACGGTATTACTGTCTTTTTTGTTTTAAATTGATGAACTTCCACATTGGTTCCCAACCATAGGGTCATGTATGGGTTTTGGAAGCACAAGGAGGTTCAGTGTTATTGGATTAAACCATGGAGACCTAATGTATAATTTTCCATTTCTAAATTAAGAAGAACCATCGAGCAAACATGGTCTTCAACCTTGCTTAGCAACTTCTACTGTTTACTCATGCTAATTCAAATTCTTATTCAGACTAAGAAGAAAGCAGTTGCAGCGGTGGAGGTTGAAGAAATGACAGAGCAAGCAGCTTGTAAAGAGGACGAGCTTCTGAAGCCACCAAACAAAAATGCAGGAGTAGTTGCAAAATGGGTAAGTCTTCTATCAATGGGCACTAGGAAACTTAGTTTCAAATGCTTCTATAACACGAACAATCGTGCAGTTATGCAGTGAAATTGGGTTTTAATATATCAAATTCTCTTCACATTCGTCATCATTATTGCCTTTTCTAGATTCATTTATTGCTATATCAATTTTTTCTCCTGACAAAACATGAAAATTTTTTTTGATGGTTCAACTGTCTTTCATCATTTTGCACATCGGCTTCTTGGTAGCAGCTTTGTTTCTTTTATTGTTTCTAAATAGCGAAGCTATAGATTACCTACCAGTGGTTTGAACCAGTAACACGTCACCTCCCCATATCTTTTGATGATGCACAAAATTGTCTTCGCGCAAGATCAACATTCAAGTATACGAACGGGTGCAATTAGTGAGCAATAACAAGCAATAAATGACAATTAATGATTAAAGCAGTAAATAAGGAGAAAACACAGAAGTTTATAGTGGTTCGGTCCGGGTGACCTACTCCACTCCTGGGAATGGCGACGGTGGCCTGGGGTGTTTTATTAATGAACAGTGTCACCGGGAGAGTAACTCTGATGTTTTACAGTGCTTTGGAGAGAGAGAGCAATGTGTGTAGGAAGGTGTAGTGTGTATAGGAATCTCAAGGTTATTAGAGCATGCCCTCTATATGGAGAGGACTTACATTATATAGGTGTGATGAGGCAGTGAGACGGTGACGTGAGGAGGAAGACTTCTACTGTTTTAGTAAGTACAACTATGGTAGGAGATCTCCGTGCCTATCCCGGCGTTTTCTCCCTTGTACTCCTATTTCTTCGTTGAAGGGTCTTGAACTGGACTGAGCTCGTACTTGACTTTGGGCTTGGACCTGGAGTGATCTTGGAGTTGCATTGGAGTGAAGTGAGGAGGGGAGGATGGGCAAGGCATGGACGGCGCCCACTTGAGGCCACATGGGCGCGGTCTCTATTTTGCACTCCCACTTGACTCCTTGGTCGATCCATCTGTTCTTGGACTTTTCTCTGGGCTTTCTCAACTTATTTTTATTGGCCTTGGCCCAATAAAATTCTAACTCATCATTTGCCCCCCATGCCCCGGGCCTCTGACTTTTTTGAGAGAAAGGGGTCGCGGGCATGTGCTTCGTCTTTATCGAAGTGAGTCGAAATCTTTCTCGTCTTTAGGATTCCAATGTACTGATCGGTATCGAACAGATTTTTTTTTTTTTTGACTCTCTTCCTTCTCTCTTTTTTTTTTTCTTCTCTTGGATTGGTTGTTGGGCGCCTGACCTCTTTCCCCTTTCTCTTTTTTTTTCTTTACTTATTGTCTGTCTTAGCTGTTGGGCGCCGCCCTTATCTCCGTTTCTCTTCCTTTTTTTTTCTTTACTTCTTGTCTATCTTGGTTGTTGGGCGCCACCCCTCTCTCCCCCTTTCTCTTCTTTTTTTTTCTTGCCTGTCATAGTTGTTGGGCGCCGCCCCTTTCTCCCCCCTTTCTCTTTTTTTTTTTGTCTTCTCTTTCTTCTAGTTTTGGCTGTAGGGTGCCGCCCCTCTCTCCCCCTTTCTCTTCTTGTTTTTTTTCTTGCCTGTCTTGGCTTTGGCAGTGTGCTGAGTGCCTATTGTTTCTCAGACTGCATATTCGAACTTTTTTTTTTTGGTCTTCTAGAAATTGTTGGAGCAAGTTTCCTCTANGTGCCTATTGTTTCTCAGACTGCATATTCGAACTTTTTTTTTTTGGTCTTCTAGAAATTGTTGGAGCAAGTTTCCTCTAGAAGCTTCCTTTCTCTATTTAAGGCCTTCAAAGTCACTGTTCATATTCACCATTCCTCTCTTACTCCCATCTTCTCTTCCACTTCTCTCTCTTAAAAAATCATGAAGACTAGGCGTTCAAAAAGTGGAGAAGGCCTCAGCGCCCATGGGGAGCCTGGCCTACGTGACGCCCAAGGGACTGCCACAGGCGGCGCCAAAGGGGCTATCACAGGCGGCGCCAGGGGCCAGGGCAGTTCTCCTTTGGGCTGCGAAGGCTTGGGTACTCCTGGTTCTGGTATGGCCTCGGTGTTTGGTGAGAGACCCTTTGGGACCATTACCTTTGGTACCATTACCACGGGGGTCTGGTGCGAATATGAGGCTTCGAGTAATCCTCCTAGCGTATCAAGAAGGCCCCCAGGCATAGGTGAGCAACGGATTAGATCTTCGAAGGAGGTGCCCACGGTGCACTGGCTGGCGCCCCAAGTGGTGGCTCAGGCACAATTTAGTCTCCTCTCCGTGAGTCCAGAAACTTGCTGATCGATGATGGGGACGGTTCGGACTCTCAAGGTATGCTCCTAGTACTCTTTTTTTTCTTCTATGGGTACTTTTTTTAACAATGGCTTAAATTTGCTTTTCAATGGGTTTTCACTAGACGAGCCGGAGATTACTAAGAATCCTGATGGAGGCCCGGTTACTGATGGAGGCGACTGTTCTAAGGTTGCCTCTATACTTAGCTCCTTTCAATGCGACAAAGATATCACAGAACTAGTTTCCTTGTACTGCATTCCACCCTCTATACTGTGTCGTCATGCAGAGGCTGATGAGTCAGCTTGCTGCGATTCTCTGGATGAGATTGTTCTCTACGAGGGGATATTAGGGGCGGGCCTGAGGTTCCCAATTCCCAAACCCATATGCCGGGTCGTGGAGCATTTGTCGTTGGTCCCCGGGAAGCTAGCCCCGAGTGGGTGGAGAGTGATATTGGCTTTCTTTGCACTATGGAGGCTAGTGCATGATGTTACTGTTCCTCCGCCATTTGAGGAGTTCTTGGCCACTTATACACTTCTAGAGAATCTCACTCTCCACCAGGGGTGGTATCGATTTTCACCAAGGTCGGGGAAATTTATTACTGGGCTTACCTCCAATCTTCACAGATGGAAGAAAAAGTTCTTCTCTGTCGGAGGCGAGTGGGCTTCGGAGTCCGATCGTAGCAGGGTGCCTACCCGATGGGATGCTGTCCCAAAGGTCAGGTANGAAGAAAAAGTTCTTCTCTGTCGGAGGTGAGTGGGCTTCAGAGTCCGATCGTAGCAGGGTGCCTACCCGATGGGATACTGTCCCAAAGGTCAAGTAGGGTAAGAATTTCATCTTTGACCTTTGCTTTGTCTATGTTATACTTTCATGCACTCATTCTTATGGTACGACTGTCTTCTTGCAGCCCTGCCGACCCTAACTCTTGTGCAGGAGAAGTTACTCGAGATGGTTTGTAACAATCCGACTAGGGAGCATTCCGACAATATGGCATCAGCCGGTTATCCCACGGCTCCCTCGAGGCCAAAGAAGAAAGTTACTTGGCTTCCTTGGCGATTTTTTCAGAAACACTGTATTTTGGAATTCTTGACTTACATTGGTTTTGCAGGTTCTCCACTTGATAGGTCCATTGTGGAAGAGGTCCATGTCTCTAGGACGGTTCATTCTTATCCTTCCTCCAAGAGGGTAAGGACTGGTGCCCCCACTTCAGTTGGTCCTGCAGAGGTAGAGCTTGGAGATGTTCCTCCTCCCTCTCTGACTGATATTCCTTCGCCCCCTAGGGGTGGTTCTGGTGCTACGGAGGCTGAGGCTCCGACGCTGCGTTTCACTGGGACGGAGGGTCCGTCTAGGTGTCCTTCTCGGGGTGGCGCCCGAGCATCCATGCTATATGACGTGGAGGTGGCAAAGGAGAGATTATGTGCCTTCATAACCAGTGTTGAAGTCCAAGAGATTGCTTCTCGAGGTCTAGAGGGTGCGATTAACGCAACTGTAGAAAGCTTTGTCGTGGTACGTCTTACACCCCTACTTTGTATGTGACTTTTTTTGTCATAAGTTCTTCACCCTCTTTTCATCTACTGCATCCTCTCGTGAACATTGGAGATGCGGTCCGTGGTCAGGTGATGGAGAGGCAGGCTCGTNCTGTAGAAAGCTTTGTCGTGGTACGTCTTACACCCCTACTTTGTATGTGACTTTTTCTGTCATAAGTTCTTCACCCTCTTTTCATCTACTGCATCCTCTCGTGAACATTGGAGATGCGGTCCGTGGTCGGGCGATGGAGAGGCAGGCTCATNTTTTTGTCATAAGTTCTTCACCCTCTTTTCATCTACTGCATCCTCTCGTGAACATTGGAGATGCGGTCCGTGGTCAGGTGATGGAGAGGCAGGCTCGTGAGGCTGCGGAAGAGCAACTTCGGCTTGAGCGGCAGGCGCGAGAGGATGCAGTAGAGCTAGCTCAACAGGCACGAGAGGATGTCGAGAAGCAGTTAGAGCTCGAGCAGCAGACACGAGAGAGTGCTACTAAGCGGTTGAGACTGTCAGAGGAGAAGGTAGCCCGACTTGAGGCTGACCTTCGGGTATCAGTTGAGAGAACTACCAGGGCAGAAGCTCAAAGGGATGCTGCAGAGAAGGCCAGGGTCGTCGTCTTCGTTGACGGCTACGATGAGCTCAGAAGAAAGGTCTCGACAGCACTTCCTAGCTACGACTTCTCTGGCTTCAAGCCTTTCGAGGCTCTTGAGTCCGACGATGAAGGCGATTATGTGAGTGGAGGCAGTGAGAGTCCATAAGGGTGTGGCACCTTGTATCTTTTGTTTTTCAGACCATGTTTGATTCTTTTGTAAAAGCTTCTAGACTTTGAAAATATCACTTTTGAGTGACTCTTTTGTAAAAGCTTCTAGACTTTGAATGAAATACCACTTTTGAGAGAATATTGAGAAATTTTATTTCATAATCCAAAGTGGATATTCAAAGAAAATCTACTAACATTAAAAAATTGACTAAGATAAAAAAAGGGAAAACAGTCTATGCTGGACACCGACTCATGACTCACTGCCCCCAGCTATTGTTAGTATTTCTTCATATGTTTTGCATTCCATGGATGCGTCAGGGCTTTTCCTTCAAAATTCTGGAGTTTATAGGTGCCTGGTCTTACCACCTCTGTGACCGTGTAGGGTCCTTCCCAGTTGGGTCCTAGCTTTCCTTCCCTGGAGTCCTTAGTAGACAGGATGACCTTTTTTAGGAACAGGTCCCCAGGTAAGAAGAAGCAAGGCTTCACCCTCAAGTTGTAGAACTTGGCCATGCAGCGTTTGTACTCTGCATTCCTGAGCATGACTATTTTCCTCTCCTCCTCTACCAAGTCGAGGTTGATGCGGAGACCTTCTTTGTTAGTAGTGGGGTCATGGTGCTGGACCCTAAGGGAGTATACCCTTATTTCAATGGGTATCACTGTCTCTGTCCCGTAGGATAGTAAGAACGGGGTCTCGCCCGTAGGACCTCTGGGTGTCATTCAATAGGCCCACAACACTCCTGGGAGTTCGTCAACCCACCTCCCTTTTGCAGCTTCAAGTCTGGCTTTCAAGTTACGGAGTATGGTCCTAACAATGACCTCTGTCTGTCCGTTTGCCTGTGGGCGGGCAGGGCTAGAGTGGGGCTGCTTGATTTGGAGGTCCGCACAGAAACTGTTGAGGAGCCTGTTATCAAACTGCTTGACATTGTCGCTTACAATGGTGTGTGGTATTCCAAATCGACAGACTAGGTTCCTCCATATGAAATCCTTTATCTTCTGGTCTGTGATTGTGGCTAAGGCCTCGGCTTCTGGCTTGCATTGGCCTCGACTTACTGGGAGGGGACCCAAGATGTCGATCCCCCACATGGAGAAAGGTCATGGACTCTAGATGGTGGTGAGCTCCTCGGGTGGTTGTCTGGACACAGTCACAAAGCGCTGGCATTTGTCACACTTCCTGACAAAGTCTATAGAATCCCNTGTCGATCCCCCACATGGAGAAAGGTCATGGACTCTAGATGGTGGTGAGCTCCTCGAGTGGTTGTCTGGACACAGTCGCGAAGCGCTGGCATTTGTCACACTTCCTGACAAAGTCTATAGAATCTCTGATCATGGTGGGCCAATAGAATCCCTGTCTTACTACTTTATGGGCTAATGCACGTCCTCCTGAGTGATTTTCACATACTCCCTCATGTATCTCTCTCATGGCATAGTCAGCTTCTTCGGGGGTGAGACAACGGAATAGTGGGAGATAATGACTTTGCTTATAGAGGATGTTTTGTAGGATAACATACCTGGATGATCTTATCCTCAACTTTCTGGCTTCCATTGGGCTGTCTGGGAGAGTGCNCTCATGTATCTCTCTCATGGCATAGTCAGCTTCTTCGGGGGTGAGACAACGGAGTAGTGGGAGAGAATGACTTTGCTTATAGAGGATGTTTTGTAGGATAACATTCCTGGATGATCTTATCCTCAACTTTCTGGCTTCCATTGGGCTGTCTGGGAGAGTTCCCTCCTCTAGATAAGCTCGAATGAGAGTCATCCAGTTTGACTCCGAAGATGTGCAGTGGAAATCACCCTCCCGAGTCTTAAAGGTGCTAGGCTCATACTAGTGACCTGTCAGCGTTGGGCCTATAAGTAGATTGGCAGAGGCAAACTTGGTGAGAGTTCGAACCGTCCCCATCATCGATCAGCCGCTTCCTGGACTCACAGAGAGGAGACTGAATTGTGCATNACTCCGAAGATGTGCAGTGGAAATCACCCTCCCGAGTCTTAAAGGTGCTAGGCTCATACTAGTGACCTGTCAGCGTTGGGCCTATAAGTAGATTGGCAGAGGCAAACTTGGTGAGAGTCTGAACCGTCCCCATCATCGATCAGCCGCTTCCTGGACTCACAGAGAGGAGACTGAACTGTGCCTGAGCCGCCACCTAGGGCGCCACCCAGTGCACCATGGGCACCTCTTGAAATGCCTGTGGCACTACCCAGTCTATGACAGACGCCCTCTGCCTCCTTCGAAGATCCACTCCGTTGCTCACCTACGCTTGGGGGCCTTCTTGATACGCCAGGAGGATTACTCGAAGCCCTCATATTCGCACCAGACCCCGTGGTAATGCTACCAAAGGTAATGGTCCCAAAGGGCTCACCAAACACCGAGGCCACACCAGAACCAGGAGTACCCAAGCCTCCGCAGCCCAAAGGAGAACTGCCCTTGGCCCCTGGCGCCGCTTGTGACAGCCCCTTGGGCGCTGCCCGTCTCAGNCCAAAGGGTCTCTCACCAAACATCGAGGCCACACCAGAACCAGGAGTACCCAAGCCTCCGCAGCCCAAAGGAGAACTGCCCTGGCCCCTGGCGCCACTTGTGACAGCCCCTTGGGCGCTGCCCGTCTCAGCGCCTTGGGCGCCGCCTGCAGCCTCATGGGCGCCGCCTGTGGCAGCCCCTTGGGCGTCGCCTAGGCCAGGCTCCCCATGGGTGATGAGGCCTTCTCCACTTTTTGAACGCCTAGTCTTCATGATATTTTAAGAGAGAAAAGTGGAAGAGAAGATGGGAGTAAGAGAGAAATGGTGAATATGAACAGTGACTTGAAGGCCTTAAATATAGAAAGGAAGCTTCATGAGGAAGCTNGGCGTCGCCTAGGCCAGGCTCCCCATGGGTGATGAGGCCTTCTCCACTTTTTGAACACCTAGTCTTCATGATATTTTAAGAGAGAAAAGTGGAAGAGAAGATGGGAGTAAGAAAGAAATGGTGAATATGAACAGTGACTTGAAGGCCTTAAATATAGAAAGGAAGCTTCATGAGGAAGCTTACCTTAGCTTCTTGGAGAAGCTTGATGAATAGCTTCTTGAGGAAGCTTGCTCCAACAATTTCTAGAAGACCAAAAAAAAAAGTTTGAATATGCAGTCTGAGAAACCACAAGCGGCTTGTGCAGTCTAAGAAGCAACAGGCGCCCAGCACACTGCCAAAGCCAAGACAGGCAAGAAAAAAAAAAGAAGAGAAAGGNATGAATAGCTTCTTGAGGAAGCTTGCTCCAACAATTTCTAGAAGACCAAAAAAAAAGTTTGAATATGCAGTCTGAGAAACCACAAGCGGCTTGTGCAGTCTAAGAAACAACAGGCGCCCAACAAACTGCCAAAGCCAAGACAGGCAAGAAAAAAAAAAAGAAGAGAAAGGGGAGAGAGGGGCGGTGCCCAACAGCCAAGACAGACAAGAAGNAGAAACCACAAGCGGCTTGTGCAGTCTAAGAAGCAACAGGCGCCCAGCACACTGCCAAAGCCAAGACAGGCAAGAAAAAAAAAAGAAGAGAAAGGGGAGAGAGGGGCGGTGCCCAACCGCCAAGACAGACAAGAAGTAAAGAAAAAAAAAAGAAGAGTGAGGGGGAGAGATGGGCGGTGCCCAACAGCTATGACAGGCAAGAAAAAAAAAAGAAGAGAAAGGGGGAGAGAGGGACGGCGCCCAACAGCCAAGACAGACAAGTAAAGAAAAAAAAAAGAAGAGAAAGGGGGAGAGAGGGGCGGCGCCCAACAGCCAAGACAGACAAGAAGTAAAGGAAAAAAAAAAGAGAAGAGAAAGGGAGAGAGGGGTGGCGCCCAGCAGCCAAGAATGACAAGAAGTAAAGAAAAAAAAAAGAGAAAGGGGAGAGAAGTCAGGCGCCCAACAACCAATCCAAGAGAAGAAGAAAAAAAAATAAGAAAAGTTAACAAAAGTGGGCAGCGCCCAATCAGCCTAAAAAAAAAACAGTACAGCAGAGTCCTGAAGACGAGGAAGATTTTGACTCACTTCGATGAAGACGAAGCACATGCCTGCGACTCATTCCTTTCGAAAAAGTTAGAGGCTCAGGGCATAGGGCGCAAAAGACGAGTTCGAATTTTACTGGGCCAAGCCCAATAAAAATAAGCCGAGAAAGCCCAAACAAAAGTCCAAGAACAGATGGATCGACCAATGAGTCAAGTGGGCGCCGTCCATGCCTTGCCCATCCTCCCCTCTTCATTTCACTCCAATGCAAGTCCAAGATCACTCCGGGTCGAAGCCCAAAGTCAAGTACGAGCTCAGTCCAGTTCAAAACCCTCCTCCGAAGAAATAGGAGCATGAGGGAGGAAACGCCAGNAATAAGCCGAGAAAGCCCAAACAAAAGTCCAAGAACAGATGGATCGACCAATGAGTCAAGTGGGCGCCGTCCATGCCTTGCCCATCCTCCCCTCTTCATTTCACTCCAATGCAAGTCCAAGATCACTCCGGGTCCAAGCCCAAAGTCAAGTACGAGCTCAGTCCAGTTCAAAACCCTCCTCCGATGAAATAGGAGCATGAGGGAGGAAACGCCAGGATAGGCACGGAGATCTCCTACCATAGCTGTACTTACTAAAACAGTAGAAGTCTTCCTCCTCACGTCATCACCTCACCGCCTCATCACACCTATATAATGTAAGTTCTCTCCATATAGAGGGCATGCTCTCATAACCTTGAGATCCCTACACACACTACACTTTCCTACACACATTGTTCTCTCTCTCTCCAAAGCACTGTAAAACATTGGAGTTACTCTCCCAATGACACTGTTCATTAATCAAACACCCCAGGCCACCGTCGCCGTTCCCAGGAGTGGAGTAGGTCACCCGCACCGAACCACTATAAACTTCTGTGTTTTCTCCTTATTTACTGCTTTAATCATTAATTGTCATTGATTGCCTGTTATTGCTCACTAATTGCACCCGTTCGTATACTTGACTGTTGATCTTGCGCGAAGACAATTTTGTGCATCATCATCATTAATATTATAAACGTAACCCCTATGGTTTTGGACAAAACTCGAACTATNCTGCTTTAATCATTAATTGTCATTGATTGCCTGTTATTGCTCACTAATTGCACCCGTTCATATACTTGACTGTTGATCTTGCGCGAAGAAAATTTTGTGCATCATCATCATTAATATTATAAATGTAACCCCTATGGTTTTGGACAAAACTCGAACTGTAAGTTAATGGTTAAAGTTCAAAATCAACATTTTTAGCAAAATTAAGTGTTAAAATAACTTTTATCGCACTATACATTTTATGATTCTTATTTTTCTCTAAACTATACATTTTCATTAGTAATGCAACACGAACAATCGTGTAGTTATGCAGTGAAGCTGGGTTTTAATATATCAAATTCTCTTCACATTTGTCATTATTGTTGCCTTTTCCAGATTCATTTATTACTATATCAATTTTCTCTCTTGACAAAACATGANTTCGTCATCATTGTTGCCTTTTCCAGATTCATTTATTACTATATCAATTTTCTCTCTTGACAAAACATGAAAATGTTTTTTGATGGTTCAACTGTCTTACATCATTTTGCACATCGGCTTCTTGGTAGCTGTTGTGTTTCTTATATTCTTCCTAAATAGGGAAACTATAGATTACCTACTAGTGGTTTGAACTAGTAAAGCGTTACCTCCCCATATCATTAATATCATAAACGTAACCCCAATGGTTTTAGACAAAACTCGATCCATAACTTAATGGTTAAAGTTCAAAATCAACGTTTTCAGCGAAATTAGATGTTAAAATAAATTTTATCGCATTATACATTTTATGTTTCTCTAAAATAAATCAATCCTTTAATCTCCTCTTCCTTTTTTTGCATAAAACATATTTTCAAAATTGTATAAAAATTTCACAAAGAAAAATAATTAGAAAATTAAAAACCTATGAAAGGTGTTACTATTTTTTTTGTACTAAATTGCTGAACTTGCACTTTGGTTCCCAACGATGGGGTCATGCATGGGTTTTTGAAGGACAAGGAGGTTTAGTGTTATTGAATGAAACCATGGAAACCTAATGTATAATTTTCCATCTCTAAATTAAGCAGAACCATCGAGCAAACATGGTCTTCAACCTTGCTTAGCAACTTCTACAGTTTACTCATGTTAACTCAAATTCTTTTTCAGAATGAGAAGAAATTAGTTCTAGTGGTGGACGTCGAAGAAACGACAGAGCCAGCACCTCGTAAAGAAGACAAGCTTCGAGAGCCACCAGAGAAAAATGCAGCAGCTGCTACAAAATGGGTTAAGTCTTCTATCAATGGACACTAGAAAACTTAGTTTCAAAGGCTTCTATTAATGGGTACTAGGAAGCTAAGTTTCTATGTTTTGGAAAGAATTTCTAAGTCAGCTGTCTGAATGTGAGGAATGCACTTGGATTGCCCAATTCTAATGTTTTTTGATTAGTAATGCAACACGAATAATCATGCAGTTATGGAGTGAAACTAGGATTTGATATATCAAATTCTCTTCACATTCGTCATCATTGTTGCCTTTTCCAGATTCATTTATTACTATATCAATTTTCTCTCCTGACAAAACATGAAAAGGTTTTTTACTGGTTCAGCAGTCTTACATCATTTTGCACATCGGCTCCTTGGTTGCAGCTTTGTTTCTTATATTGTTTCTAAATAGAGAAGCTATAGATTACCTACCAGTGGCTTGAACCAGTAACGCGTTACCTCCCCATATCATTAAATATAATAAATGTAACCCCTATGGTTTTGGACAAAACTCAAACCGTAAGTTAATGGTTAAAGTTCAAAATCAACATTTTTAGCGAAATTAAGTGTTAAAATAACTTTTATCGCATTATACATTTTATGTTTCTTACTTTTCTCTAAAATAAACCAATCATTTTATCTTCTCTTTCTTTTTATGCATAAAACATCTTTTTTAATTTGTATAGAAATTTCACGAAGAAAAACAATTAAAAAATTAAAAATCCGGTGAACGGTATAATTGTCTTTTTTGTACTAAATTGCTAAACTTCCACGTTGGTTCCCAACCATAGGGTCATGTATGGGTTTTTTAAGCACAATGCGGTTCAGTGTTTTTAAATGAAACCATGGAGACCTAATGTATAATTTGCCATTTCTAAATTAAGTTGAACCAACGAGCAAACATGGCCTTCAACCTTGCTTAGCAACTTCTACAGTTTACTCATGCTAACTCAAATTCTTTTTCAGACTGAGAAGAAAACAGTTGCAGCGGTGGAGATCAAAGAAATGACAGAGCCAGCAACTGGTAAAGAGGACAAGCTTCGGGAGCCACCAGAGAAAAATGCAGCAGCAGCTGCAAAATGGGTAAGTCTTTTATCAATGGACACTAGGAAACTTAGTTTCAAAGGCTTCTATTAATGGGTACTAGGAAGCTAAGTTTTTATGTTTTGGAAAGAATTTCTAAGTCAGCTGTCTGAATGTGAGAAATGCACTTGGATTGCCCAGTTCTGATGTTTTTTAATTAGTAATGCAACACGAACAATTGTGCAGTTATGCAATGAAATTGAATTTTAATATATCAGATTCTTTTCACATTCGTCGTCATTGTTGCCTTTTCCAGATTCATTTATTACTATATCAATTTTCTCCCCTGACAAAACATGAAATGGTTTTTTGATGGTTCAACTATCTTACATCATTTTGCACATCGGGTTCTTGGTAGCCGCTTTGTTTCTTATATTGTTCCTAAATAGGAAACTATAGATTACCTACCAATGGTTTGAACCTGTAAAGCGTTACCTCCCCATATCATTAATATTATAAACGTAACCCCAATGGTTTTGGACAAAGCTCGAACCGTAAGTTAATGGTTAATGTTCAAAATCAATGTTTTTAGCGAAATTAGATGTTAAAATAACTTTTATCGCATTATACATTTTATGTTTCTTATTTTTCTCTTACATAAACCAATCCTTTTATCTTCTCTTCCTTTTTGTGCATAAAACATATTTTTAAATTTGTATAAAAATTTTACAAAGAAAAATAATTAAAAAATTAAAAACCTGGTGAACGGTATTACTGTCTTTTTTGTACTAAATTGTTGGACTTCCACTTTGGTTCCCAACCATAGGGTCATGTACGGGTTTTTGAAGCACAAGGAGGTTCAGTGTTATTGAATGAAACCATGGAGACCTAATGTATAATTTGTCATTTCTAAATTAAGCAGAACCATTGAACAAACATGGTCTTCGACCTTACTTAGTAACTTCTACAGTTTACTCATGCTAATCAAATTCTTTTTCAGATTGAGAGGAAAGCAGTTGCAGCGATGGAGGCCGAAGAAATTACCGAGCATCTCGTAAAGAGGACAAGCTTCGGGAGCCACCAAAGAAAAATGCAGCAACAATTGCAAAATGGGTAAGTCTTCTATCAATGGACACTAGGAAACTTAGTTTCAAAGGCTTCGATTAATGGGTACTAGGAAGCTAAGTTTCTTTGTTTTGGAAAGAATTTCTAAGTCAGCTATCTGAATGTGAGGAATGCAATTGGATTGCCCAGTTCTTATGTTTTTTGATTAGTAATGCAACATGAACAATCGTGCAGTTATGCATTGAAACTGGGTTTTAATATATCAAATTATCTTCACATTCGTCATCATTGTTGCCTTTTCCAGATTCATTTATTACTATATCAATGTTCTCTCCTGACAAAACATGAAAAGGTTTTTTGATGGTTCAGCTGTCTTACATCATTTTGCACATCGGCTTCTTGGTAGCAGCTTTGTTTCTTATATTGTTTCTAAAAAGGGAAGCTATAGATTACCTCCCCATATCGTTAATATTATAAACGTAACCCCTATGGTTTTGGACAAAACTCGAACCATAAGTTAATGGTTAAAGTCCAAAATCAACATTTTTAGCCAAATTAGGTTTTAAAATAACTTTTATTGTATTATACATTTTATGTTTCTTATTTTTCTCTAAAAAATAAATCAATCTTTTTATCTTCTCTTCCATTTTATGCATAAAACATGTTTTAAATTTGTGTGAAAAATTCACAAATAAAAACAATTAAAAAATTAAAGGTGAACGGTATTACTATCTTTTTTGTACTAAATTGCTGAACTCCCAGGTTGGTTCCTAACCATAGGGTCATGTATGGGGTTTTTGAAGCACAAGGAGGTTCAGTGTTACTGAATGAAACCGTGGAGACCTAATGTATAATTTGCCACTTCTAAATTAAGCATAACCAATGAGCAAACATGGTCATCAACCATGCTTAGCTACTTCTATAATTTAATCATGCTAACTCAAATCTTTTTCAGGCTGAGAAGAAAAGCAGCTGCGGTGGTGGAGGTACAAGAAATGACAGAGCCAGCCGCTTGCAAAGAGGACAAGCTTCCAGAGCCACCTGCTCTGAAGAATGTTCAGAAAGAGTGGACTTGTGCTGTATGCCAGGTGACAACCACATGTGAAGCAAACTTGAACAGCCATCTTCAAGGGCAGAAACATAGGGCAACGTTGGATGGGCTCAAAGCTAGTAAGCAGGCAGAAAAAAACACGGGTTCTTCATGTTTGACACCAAACAAATCAGATCAAGCCAAAAAAGGAGGCAATCAAGTGTGTATCTGGGGATACGCCAAACAAATATAAGACTGCAGAACAAGAGGTAAAAGTGCCGGTGAATAGCAGCAACAGTGAGCAATTCAAGCAGAGAAATACTAATACTAGTAATGCTGGGATGAAGCTGTCTAAACGGGGGTGCAGTATCTGTGATGTAAGGTGCCCCGGAGAGATTGACATGGCAGCTCACCTAAATGGAAGTAAACACTTGTCCCGGATTAAAAAGATGTTCGATCTTTGTGGTGGCGAACAAGTGTGGGAGTGTGGTATCTGTAATGTAAGGTTTTCCGCAGAGAGTGTCATGGTTGGTCACCTTAATGGAAAGATGCACTTGTCCCGGGTTGAACAGATGCTCAATCCAATAGGTGGCCAACCGGCGTTCTGCAGTATCTGTAATGTAAGGTGTTAGGGGAGATTGACTTGGCTGCTCACCTTAATGGAGGATAGCACTTGTCCCGGATTCAAGAGATGATCAATCCTGGTGGTGGCCAATCAGGATGGGATTACGGTGGTGGCTCATTAGGATGGGATTACGGTGGTGGCTCATCAGGATGGGAGGCTCGGTAGTATATCACTAATGCCTAAATTTCTGTTGTTTTACAAGTTGGAATGAAAATGGAAAGATTTTTGGATGGATGATGTGCATGACCTAGTGGTGCATTGTAAGCTTTGATATTCACAAGTGAATCCTGAATTTAGTTTTTTTTATAGATAAACTGTCTAAAGATGGAGATATTGGGCTATTTAGAATTAACTTTTTTAGATGAAAAGCTACGATTTAAAAAGTTTCACAAAAAAAAACAGGGCAAGTCTCAACCTTATAAAAGTTACATATTAATTATAAAATAAACAATACAATCATAAAATATAATCTAAATTATCTTCCAACGAGTATTTTATTGGGCTAAAATGGGGACTAATGGGCTTCTTAACGGGTCAACCCGTCAAGCCCCCAATCCTAAAAAACACAGCCCAGACCCTACCCGCTGGGCTAACAGGCTACCCAAGCCCTGCCCCGTGTATGGGCCAGGCAGTGGACGACCCATTAGGCTTTGGACTTTTTGGTGAGGCTTAGCCTGGATACAGAGGAAACAATGCCTTTTTTTTTTTTTTTTGGTTGCCAACCCCAAATCTCAGGTCAAGTGGCTCAGTTATATCACCTACAACCTCAACAGGGAAAGGTGCATACGTTGCAAGTATTTGTTCATGCACCTGACTCTCAAAAATAAAAAAAATGTGCACATGCCCGCGCGTGCGCACACCCACTCTCATGCAAGCGCGCACACAAAAAACAAGCAACTTGATGTAGAACAGGTTGCAAGAGATTAAAATAGAATATGGAGTCAGAGTGGAGTGAAATAGTGCTATTTGAGAATGCTTTCCAATGAATCCAGGATTGCGCGATTGTTGTTTCCTGTTACCCATGTCATACACACACAGAGTTGGGAGGTGAAAAAGGAATTTGCGGGGTGGGGTGGGGGTGGTTTGTATTCAAGCCTTGCTCTTCCTCCAACAGATAAATAAAGCTTAACACAATCCTCCCCAAAGCAATTGGTATTTACATTCAACTCTACGATTTTTCCAGGCCTCGTTAAAGTGCATAAATAATTTACACAAAAAGGAGAACTGACATGAGCCTAGCTAGTTCTTAAGGATCAACCATCTTAAACTAAAATGACTAATTTAGGCTTGAAGCACCCATAACAACGACACCAGTGAATCGATCCACAGAACTCAAACGGCCAGATCATTTATCAAGGCCACATAATGATTGCAAAAGGGCTTTGAGCATTCCCATCCCACAAGTTGCAAAAGTTGAAAATCACAACATTTGAGTAAGCAACATATTAAATCTCGGGCTGCCTATTTCTGGATTTGATGATTCAAGGGATGATATCTTCTGTCAGCAACATTCGAAAGGGATGACTGGGACTATGTAGTCATGCCAACTTAAAACATGTTCAAATCTAGTACGTTGGCTGTGCAGTTAGTGACTTCGACAGGCTTGATTTCGGCTCTAGAGTAAGCTTCCCAGCATGTTAAAGGCCCTGTGTAAACTTCTGCAGTGAAACCTTCAATCTACCATCCCTGAAAAAGANTTGTTGTTTCCTGTTACCCATGTCATACACACACAGAGTTGGGAGGTGAAAAAGGAATTTGCGGGGTGGGGTGGGGGTGGTTTGTATTCAAGCCTTGCTCTTCCTCCAACAGATAAATAAAGCTTAACACAATCCTCCCCAAAGCAATTGGTATTTACATTCAACTCTACGATTTTTCCAGGCCTCGTTAAAGTGCATAAATAATTTACACAAAAAGGAGAACTGACATGAGCCTAGCTAGTTCTTAAGGATCAACCATCTTAAACTAAAATGACTAATTTAGGCTTGAAGCACCCATAACAACGACACCAGTGAATCGATCCACAGAACTCAAACGGCCAGATCATTTATCAAGGCCACATAATGATTGCAAAAGGGCTTTGAGCATTCCCATCCCACAAGTTGCAAAAGTAGAAAATCACAACATTTGAGTAAGCACCATATTAAATCTCGGGCTGCCTATTTCTGGATTTGATGATTCAAGGGATGATATCTTCTGTCAGCAACATTCGAAAGGGATGACTGGGACTATGTAGTCATGCCAACTTAAAACATGTTCAAATCTAGTACGTTGGCTGTGCAGTTAGTGACTTCGACAGGCTTGATTTCGGCTCTAGAGTAAGCTTCCCAGCATGTTAAAGGCCCTGTGTAAACTTCTGCAGTGAAACCTTCAATCTACCATCCCTGAAAAAGAAAGAACATGTGTTCTGAGCAAAATCTCACTTCAATGAAAAAGAAAGCTCAGGTGCTTAAGAAATACTGCCCAAGCATGAACAAGTTGCCTGGTAGAGGGTGGGGTGGGGTGAGGTGGGCATAATAAAGAGAACTGAATCGGATGGGAAACCAGAGGACCTTGCTATTCAGAGTCTCCTTAAAATCATATAAAAGATATATTTCTAGGTATTTTTGGTCCACTCTGATCCATCAATCGCTGTTATCGCGGCCGACATGCCATTGCTACTTGGAAAATCTTTCGNGTCATGCCAACTTAAAACATGTTCAAATCTAGTACGTTGGCTGTGCAGTTAGTGACTTCGACAGGCTTGATTTCGGCTCTAGAGTAAGCTTCCCAGCATGTTAAAGGCCGTGTGTAAACTTCTGCAGTGAAACCTTCAATCTACCATCCCTGAAAAAGAAAGAACATGTGTTCTGAGCAAAATCTCACTTCAATGAAAAAGAAAGCTCAGGTGCTTAAGAAATACTGCCCAAGCATGAACAAGTTGCCTGGTAGAGGGTGGGGTGGGGTGAGGTGGGCATAATAAAGAGAACTGAATCGGATGGGAAACCAGAGGACCTTGCTATTCAGAGTCTCCTTAAAATCATATAAAAGATATATTTCTAGGTATTTTTGGTCCACTCTGATCCATCAATTGCTGTTATCGCGGCCGACATGCCATTGCTACTTGGAAAATCTTTCGATTGTAGTGCCATGAAAACACCATCACTACTGGCGAACTCCTTCGATTGTGACACCAGGAATCCTGCATCACTACTTGGGAGTTCCTTCGAATGTAATGCCAGGCAAGTTTCATCGCTACTTGGGAAATCCTTCAGTTGCAGTTCTGGGGATACTTCACCGCAATCAGAAAAATCCTTCCATTGCTGAGTCACTGTTTTAATCTGCGTGTAAAAATGAACTCCAGCCTTGCCTACAATGCAAAACAACTGAGTTGTAACTTCAGAAATAAACTGTAGCGAGTCTACTTAATGCCACTGATTGTAGGGCAAGCAGAATGTCATAGAATGTTTTACCATAGAAATTCAGATCTCCAGCAAACGACGCCTTAGAGCCGGAGAATGAGACAAAAGGCAGGGGCGCTGGAACAGGAACATTTATGCCAACCTGAGTTAGACCCAGTTCATATCATCAGAGCTCTGCATAAAAATTGTAAGCAAACGTAGATAATCTTGCTGCATAATTCAAAAAAACTGCAGGTGAGCACTGGTTACATGAACAAACAACCATATCTTTTGATGGAACTACCTCCATTCTGCCAATTAGATGAACATCAAATGGTATAACCCTAAGTGGTCATAATATTGGCCCAAATTTCCTAAAAGTCGTGAAGAGAAACCAAACAGTTTGGGTTAAACAAGCCTCTAAGGATCTGCTGTTGCACTTCTCAAAACATTTGTGAAACATGCTAAAAGGCCTGTTATACCTGCCCAGCCTCTATCTCAGTCTGGAATTTCCTTGCAGCCGCACCAGATGAAGTAAATATAGAAGCCCCATTGCAATATCTGCTCCACGAGAGCAACTTAAACACAAACAAAAACTACAATGCTTAAAGCAATTCTGGCATTCATTGAGATTTAAAGGAGGTATTCGGAAGGTACTTATGTCTGTTAACAATGCCGATGGCCTCATCTAAGCTATCAGCCTGAACATAAAAGGGCACAGAGAAAACAATTTGTTAACAAATTTCTCGACTTCAAAACAAGCAACATCATTATAAGAAAGCAGGGAAACTTATAGACCAACCTGCATACAAAGAAGAACTGGTCCAAAAATTTCCTCCTGATACACAACCAAGAGTAGCCATTGTCAAGATTCAAGCTTCTACTTCCACTGTATGTAATGAAATATCCAAAGTCCACTCTGAGTAATGAAATAAGATACCTTGCAACAGTCCATGTTGTCAGTGACATCAGATAAGATGGTGGGACCAATAAAGTTGCCCAGTTCGTATTGTGGAACCTATTTGTTATCCACAGTAAGTAAAGCTGAAGTATACTGGCTTCGACACTTCTAAAAAACAAAGTAAAACTGCTACTATAGGCAGGATTTCTTACAAGTCTACAAACTGTTAAAACCACAATATTAAACTGATAGAATGCAATACCATTTCAAGGGCCAAAAGTTTGCCCTGGTAATCTGTTACACTATTATCATTGACATTTACCCACACAAACTGCGATCCTTGCAATGCAGGCAACAGGTTGTATCAGTATTACTATTAAAATTAAGGGCAAAATCCAATTTACCCGCTTGTGGTTTGGCCGTTTTGCACATTACCTCCTCGTGGTTCAAAATTAAGCACATAACCCCCTTGTAATTTTGGACCAAAATGCACAACTGACACCATTAACGGTAGTGGCAAAAAGACCACCTTGCCCTTTTTAAAATTTGCATGAACTTCGCAAACACATTTTCTCCAACTCCATTGCATCTTCACCTACTGTGCACCACCAGTGAATCACTAGTCATTGGCCATCACCACTAAATCACAAGTACTCACTAAACCCACCATAACCCATCAATAGCTAGTAGCTCACGACAATTCACAATTTTCTTCCCAAAATTGTCGACGTCTCTACCACGATAGCAAGCTTCTGGTAACAAATATGAACCACAACAACCCCCAATTTTTGTTTCCCAACGTCTCAAGCCAATTTTTCACTATAAATTGAAATTAATCCAACATGGAATCTAGAAGACAAATTTTTAAAAATATAGTGAAGTGCAAATTTTTAAAAAATTAGTAGAACAAAAACGAGGCAAAAAATTCATAAGNGAAATTAATCCAACAATCCAACATGGAATCTAGAAGACAAATTTTTAAAAATATAGTGAACTGCAAATTTTTAAAAAATTAGTAGAACAAAAAAGAGGCAAAAAATTCATAGGAGATGTGTTGGAAGTGAAGATTTTCACGGCGATCCACTTCATTGTTGGAAGGGTAGAGGGGTTGGGTCGCCGAATGATGGGGGTTTTAGTCATATGTGAGGGAAAACTGGTGGGAGGATTGTCAATTGGTGATGCAGGGGTTTTAGTCCTATATCTGCTTTTTTTTTTCTAACAGAAAAATATTGAAGAAGATAGAAAATGTCTTTTTGAAAAATCACAAGGGTCTATTTGGACCTTTAGGTTGAACTTTGACATGGACTTAAATTTTTTACATCCATACATGCAAATCTAGAGCGTGTTATAACTTCTGTCAATTTTGATGGAAATAGTAACGATAGTATTTTAGTCCAAAAACACAAGGGAGCTATGTGCTGATTTTTGAACCACAAGGAGGTGACGTGAAAAATGAACAAACTACGAGGGGGTAAATTGGATTTTGCCCTAAAATTAATCTACTCGACAAAACCAGGAAGAAAATTTCTTGTCCATGATGCGTTTTTCACAATCTAGGTGTGTTGACAGGGTTCAAGAGCCACAAGTTAACGATTTTTTTTATAAGAAACAGTCATTTTATTGATGAAAAAGTAGTACAATAGAGGGTGAAAAGAGTGTGGACAAGATGTCCAAACTTCGCATTAAACAGACAGAGAAACCAGTACATATGAGACTTAAGCTAAGACTAGGCATAACTATAAATCACAAACATCTCTCCATCCTGCTAAAATAAAACAAAGAGGAATTTCCTTAAAATCCTAGTGATCGAAGCCCGAAAAGACGTGTAGCCATGAAGCTTACACATCACAAAAAGAATCTGGTACATCGGATTCACTTACACTTGAGAATCATAGTCATAGGTCAGAAGCAAGCTTAATGGTCCAAAATTGTCTAAAGTTTGGAAGAATATACAGAAAGAATATAAAGCAACTATCTCTTGTGTAATGCGTGCATAAAGAAAAGGAAAAACGAATANCAAAATTGTCTAAAGTTTGGAAGAATATACAGAAAGAATATAAAGCAACTATCTCTAGTGTAATGCGTGCATAAAGAAAAGGAAAAACGAATAAGTGTAACATACTCTGTATGCCGGAACATTTCATATATACGATGGGGTACCATTAATAATGAAAATGCTAAACCATCAAAGATACAAACATATACCACAATCTGTCTTCCATCAAGAATTAGTCTGGCACCACTGTCAACAGTCATTTGGATCAATCTGCATATCCGTTCCTTCACCTATAGACACCAAAGAATGTAAAAGCAATACAAAATTATAAGGAACAGTGAAACAGAAACACTAGCTCTAGAAACAGATAAAGGGATCAGAAAGCTGCTTCTCATTGACCCACCACTACTATATTGGTTTTTGAATTAATCATAGACCCTACATAACGATTGCCTAACAATTTCATAATAATACAGAATTTCATGAATTTTTCACGGTGATATTAAAACATAATGCACTAAAATCTAGCACCTTCCTTCAACATTAATGGCCCATGAATATTGACGCCTAATAAGAATTATGTGTCACCTGTTTGCTAATCACTGGACCAAGGTCTGCATCGGGTTCAGTTCCAGCAGTTATTTTTAATGCTTTTGCACGCTCCACTAGTTTATCTTCCCTGGATTGGGTCATGAAGAACCCTTGTTAGACTGATGAATCTAACGTCCATTGAACATAATTTCNGCCCATGAATATTGACGCCTAATAAGAATTATGTGTCACCTGTTTGCTAATCACTGGACCAAGGTCTGCATCGGGTTCAGTTCCAGCAGTTATTTTTAATGCTTTTGCACGCTCCACTAGTTTATATTCCCTGGATTGGGTCATGAAGAACCCTTGTTAGACTGATGAATCTAACGTCCATTGAACATAATTCCAAGAAACCCACAGTTCATTTAGTTAATTCAACCAACAACAACAAACCAATCATAATGGAAAAGGATATAAAGAAAAAATACTTCTCTATATGAAGACAAACATCAATCCAGCACACAGGAACTTTAAATGACATGTTCCCTCACTATTACGGGGATCTCTTTTTAGAAAATCGATGCTGCCTATGATGTGTGGGCAATCCTCGGGGAACCACGTTCTTGTTCAATACCATGCTGTTTAACACTCGTTAAAACTCTTCTAGAAACATGTTAGACATGACCAACTCACTAACATATCCCAGGGTTTTGGAAAGAAATTGTGTGTCATGCCCATGGCTAAAACAAGTCAAGCATACAACTAATTGCTATTCAATATAAAGAAAAATATAGTTGTAAGGAACAAGAGATATTCAGGTAGTAACAGCATATATGTTACTTGTTGAATTTTGTGGCCTTGACATCGAATTCTGAATAATTACATAAAATATGATGTCTGAGTCATATAAAATACTTATAAACATATTTAATCCCCTATACACCTGTCTTTAGGACATCCTTGTTTCATTTTCCATGACTGATGTGATAAACAGGGCTGGTGGTTTTCCAAGCTACATAGGCATAGGCTAACCGAGGAAATGGAAAATATGATTGCAAAGAAGCAATGGAGGTTAAGGAGCCCACAAAATATAAGACAACTATTAGCGTCCCCCGCCACACGACCACAAAAAAAAAAAAAAAATGAAAAATGAAAGAATGGAGCTATAGAGAGAGAGAGAGAGAGAGAGAGAGAGAGCGAAGCTGCCACAAATGGCACAAAAGACCAAAGAACATGGAATATGGGAAGTTAAACATGGACATTTGCAGGAGACCGTATTGTGTGGAGACGGATAAAAGCATTCGAATGAGGAAAAAAACAAAATGCACTTTTTCCCACCAAATGGTGGATGCTGGGAGTTTAGTACAATAACTAAGCTAGGGAATATGGTTATTAAAAGTGGTAATGGCAGTGGACAAAGCAAACTATATGCGACAGTGTACATAACAAGGACTTGTGGCATGCATAAAAACAGTTCAGTGCGGCTGTTTGACTCGATTAAACTGCAAGTCTGAGATTCGTCCAAAAAGTGAGTGGGTTTCAACTACAGAAGGTCCAAGTGCTTGAACTGCCAACATCGTGTCAACATCAAAAACCAAAATATATGCACATTATGATCCATTTCACCACATGCTTTAGCATTTTAGTATGTGTTTAAATTCAAGGCTTTGGAGGTAGATTTGTGGGTGAGATATGGATTTGGGGTTCTCAAATTCAAATAGAGTGTTTGAATAGTAATTTTCCAACCCCATACTAAGTGTGAAGGGATGGGACATCATTAACATATCCCGCTTAACACAGTTGAAGTTATTGTTAATATAAAGAAGGTGTTGCCTCTGTTACATGTTCATCACCACCACCATCTTTGTGACCATCTACTACCATCCCATCAGCACCAGCATCTCGCCGCCGCCACCACCATCACCCCCCAGCATTAATTCACTATGGCCATCACTACTATATCATCATCAATACTCTTCCAACCACCACATGTGCAGCCAGTGCCACCATCAACCACCACCAACATCTATCACCAGCACCACTTACGCCAATCCACCACCACCTTTCAGTACTATATTTAACATTATTGAGTTTTCTTAAAATTAAAAAATACTATTTTAGGGTATGCAAAACACAATTTGCAGTACCTTGTTAACTCAACTAACCTTTTGGTAAACATATCCTACAATGGGTAGATATTCATATTCAGTTTCATCTTCTTGCTTGATTCATTTATGATATTTGTATCGCAAATCACATGCTATATACGAAATTAAAGTCAAGTTCACATATAGGTGCCGAGGCTAGTACTTAGGCAACTAATGTAGCCATCACCAAAAGCACAGCCCCCAAGGAAAGAAAGAAAAACCGTTAGATATGAAACAATGCATGGCTGACATCCACTACTCAGCAGCCCAAGAAATAAAGGAAACAAAGAAAGAAAGAATGAAGGAAAAAAGAAACAAATTCTCCATCTTGAGAGCTTGCCAAATAGATGAGGGAGATGGCAGAATACCATGATTTTGAGCCTCCAACGAAAACAACTGTGCTCAATGCTGTGCACCTTTGTCCTGCAGCACCAAATCCAGCCGCAACCAGAGCATTTAAAGTAGCGTCCATTCTTGCATCAGTCATGACAATTGCATGATTCTTGGCTCCAATATTGGACTGAAGAGAACAGTCAGCCAACCAATCATGACAACTTAACAATTTTGTGGACAACAGAGCAACCATAGATGCTCACAAGTCATAAGGAAATGCATGCCTGTTACTGGAGGAAGATGAACAGCACACACCTGAACACGTTTACCATTAGCAGATGCTCTTGCATGTATGTACATGCCGGCCTTGAAAAAAAGTAAATAAATACATAAGAACATAACTAAGAAAAACAAAATAAAACCCAACTCTTATGAGTAAATCACAAGTAGAACAAAATTAAAAGAGGAGGCAACTTGATAACGTACATTATGTGAAGGTACATGCTAAAATGGCAGTAAAACTACATGTTTACATGGAACAAGCAACGAACAACAATTAAGTTAAATTGTACGTCATAAGTGATAATCTTCAACACTTAAATAAACGGTCCACAACTGTAGCAGGTAATACCAAATACTTATGATGCGGGACATCGAAACAGTTGTTATGGTCTAAGAAGCACGGACACGGATACGACACGACACGAACATGCCGACACGAAATTTTTCAAAAAAATAGGACACGGACACGTTAGCGATACGTTAAATAATATGTATTTTATATATATATTTATATAAAATCATGTGATAAAATAAAAATAGTATCATAATAATCTTTTAATTCATTATTTTCCTAATTCTAAAAATTTATATCATGATATCATTGCATGAAAAGTATAATATAAGATATACTGATACACATTCAACATTAACATCCATGATTCAATAATCAATGACTTCTACAACTTTTACTTTAAAAAATATTTCATTTCGTAAAACTAATTTTCATCAAATTCCAAAAACTCCAATTTTGTAATCTCATTTTTTCTCACATTACTTTCATATTAAAAGACTATTCCATTTGTATATAAGTTCGTATTCATATCCAAAATTATATTAAATTCATGTCCTATGTTCAATGTAATGATTATAACTTCTTTTATATTATAATTGTGACTCATATCCCTTTAAAATCATAAAAATAACTCTTAATTATAAAATTATCTGAAAAATTCTCAAAAAAATTGAAAATAAATCTCAAAACGTGTCCCCCAGCGTGTCCGACACGTGTATGTGTCCCAGACATGTCCGACACGTGTCTGTGTCCCAGACGTGTCCGACACGTGTCTGTGTCCCAAACGTGTCCGACACCGACACTTTGTCCAAAATGAAGTGTCCGTTCTTCCTAGGTTATGGTGAAAGGTCCGACTATAAAACCTACAAACCAACGTGAGACAGCTGAATTTAAACAGGAAAATGGAATAATTAAAAATCACTATTCTCCATTCTATCTATAGTGCAGCACCAGAGGATTAATGTAGGGTTTACTATTGCTGCATGGATACTTCAAATGAGTGAACCACTTGTGTCGGACAATACAATAGGTATGGTAAGGGAATTGGACTAAATTTTTACTCCACTCCCAACTAAGACCATGTCTTGGACAAGTTTCTACTCAAGGGACTAATAGTCCCATGCCCCTATTTAATGAAACAGTCGCATATAGCGATAGAACTAGTGACAGGACCTCTGTTTCTGCCTCACAGAGTCCCACCTCTAGACAAAGACCACCTATTCAATTTAGCCCCAATAAGGCAACTCATTACTCCTATTTGCTTTAATCTTCACTACACCACAACTCATCCCACATATCCGATAACATGATGAATGAAACGCAAAAGCAATCAACTGGAAAAATCATGCCCAAGACCTTATTCTTATAACACCAAACTTTTCCTTTCGTTGAATCTTCTTAGGTACGGGTGCCTTCATATGTTTGGATTTTCACTAACGTCAATACCTTATGCATTACCCCCAAACAAAACCNCGGGTGCCTTCATATGTTTGGATTTTCACTAACGTCAATACCTTATGCATTACCCCCAAACAAAACCCCTAATACCCGCGGTGACTCCTTGTTGGCCCTAACCATGGCCATACTATCTGCTGCCTCTGCCTCCTAAATTCCCTGTCCCAATGTTAGTTAAGGCAAAAAGCACCCCATGACGCCAAGGTCTCTTGGGGCCAAGAGCAAGGCAAAGTGTGGAATTCATTGAAGCGAGGCACATGTTATGGAGAATATGTGAAAGTTATAAATTAAACTGCATGACGCATCTATAGAAGCCCAGTTAGACCTACATCTTTAGCCTGTTGGATTGACCACCAACTCTTGCCTGGCCTCCACTCTCTAGGACAAGTCCAGTTCTGTGTTATGTGGCATACATCCTGAATCACTCTCCACCCTCAGTCCACAAGGGAGCTCACTTGCTGGCCCTTCTTACTTCACCATGTTTGGGTTTTAGGATAACACCCAACCCACCCAACCCCTAAAATCAATGGCTCTCCATACACCCCATGTGCCCTTTCCAACCAAACAATAATTAAATGTTTTCCTCCAATCATGAGCCTTCAATGCAGCCCTTCTTGTCCCTCCATGTATAATGAATGGGAAAAGACAATGACATATACTCGTTTGAAAGCATTTCTACAAAAGTAATAAGTTAGCAACTTGTGATCATGTAAGAACCTAACAGGTAAGCTCAGCCATGAGGTTTCTTGCCTGGATGACCAAAGGTTGTATCACTTGAATAAGATGAGCATCACATTTTTTCACTTATTAAAAACCATTATTAAAATCATTACAAAGTCGATACATTAGGCAGCGTAAAGTATCTGTGAGAAAAATGAACACAGGAAGCACGTACCGTATCCGTACCGACGAAAGATATAGCTTTAATATCATCATCATCACAGATAGCATTGCCAATATCCTGCCCCAATTGAAGAATTAAAAAAAAAAAAAAAAAAAAGTCAGAGACATCAATTATCAACAGTTTTGGAATTCAGATTATCTGATACAGCATGTAGGAAAACAAAGTCAGGTGAAGTCAAAAGCAGATTGTGCATAAGGTAAATGTAATGGACCATATAAAAGTATTTTGTTGAAACACCCAGTTATAAGTTCGATGGCATACAGGTGAAGATCAATAAGATATCAAAAATTTAAAATTTGATTGTACTTTCTCAAAGTTGACAGATGGATATGAAGTCAACAACTGCTTCNTAAGCAATCAACTGGAAAAATCATGCCCAAGACCTTATTCTTATAACACCAAACTTTTCTGTTCGTTGAATCTTCTTAGGTGCGGGTGCCTTCATATGTTTGGATTTTCACTAACGTCAATACCTTATGCATTACCCCCNGATGGCATACAGGTGAAGATCAATAAGATATCAAAAATTTAAAATTTGATTGTACTTTCTCAAAGTTGACAGATGGATATGAAGTCAACAACTGCTTCCTCAATTAAAAGTAAGAGCTTACACTACTTCCATGAACAACATTTAAGACCCCGTTAGGNAATGGCATACAGGTGAAGATCAATAAGATATCAAAAATTTAAAATTTGATTGAACTTTCTCAAAGTTGACAGATGGATATGAAGTCAACAACTGCTTCCTCAATTAAAAGTAAGAGCTTACACTACTTCCATGAACAACATTTAAGACCCCGTTAGGCAAACCGGCCTCCATTGCTAATTCTGCAATCATCATGCAAGCCCCTGAAATAATATGAGACTATGGAAGTAAAATTCCTGCATTTGTTGCTACTGCACCCCTTTATTCTTGTTCCAACTTTTTTTTCTAATTATTATTCATATGAAAATTGTGTGTTAAAATAATAAAATGATTTGACTGAAACTTGACTTAAACAGTTATCTACAACGAATGAAGAAATGAAACAAAAAGGATTCCGATACAGTCTTAAACCAAAGAAAATCAGGGAACTGTAACTGGAAGTGTTCTATGAGACCTGATCTGACATTATGGAATAATTTTTTATAAAAAAACTTCCTTCCTTCTAAACCTGACAAAAAATGATCTACCAAAAGTAAAAAATAAACTAATATTCTCTAATAATATCGCATGTGCAACAGGGGGATGGTTATGCACTTTTTCTTTTCCAAACTCATCACTTGTGATTATGCCTAAACTATATTGAACAATGATTGAAAAACCTGAGAATAGAACTTGCTAATGATTCCAAGACAACAAAAATAGATAAGACTAGAAACTTATCAAAAAAATAATTTTACGACTAGGAACCTTTAAATATAAAACATAAAAGTGTATTAGAATATAAATTTCTGGGTTATCTACAAATAGGCTCCTATATATGTTCTCAAAAATAGAATCCCTCAACNGCTTTAAAACATAAAAGTGTATTAGAATATAAATTTCTGGGTTATCTACAAATAGGCTCCTNCCTTTAAATATAAAACATAAAAGTGTATTAGAATATAAATTTCTGGGTTATCTACAAATAGGCTCCTATATATGTTCTCAAAAATAGAATCCCTCAACCGTGCTATCAGCATATCCATGTCTTACAAATTCCTTCTGTTTTCCTTTTATTTTTCTAAATGAGAGGATGCATGACCCACTTCAATCATTTACAATTATATTATTTCCCTCATTGATCCACCAAGTGGACAGCATATCAACGGCTGTTTCGGGCAATTCCAACAAACCCAAGAAATAAGAAAACAGCTCAATTATCCTACTTCAGGTTGTAGCAAAAAAACAAAAAGAAATTGAAATATGGACTAAGCAGCCTTTTCACCCATCATGCATCAGCTGCTACTTTGCTCATGTATTTGGCCAACCAAAGCATTTGTGTGTGCCATATGTAAGTATATTTGTATACACTTAGGCAAAAAGGAAAAGCCCAAAATAGACCCATGAGCCAAAATAAATGTGATTTACCTAAACGGGCTATGTCCTCAAGTAAAGATGAATAACAAACTTCATTACATAGCAGGAAAAAAGTAAGAATTTTTTCCCAAGAACTGGCCACACTTAGTTAATTCTTGTAAATACGAATTGAATATTAAACTTGTGACATGATAATCAGGCCACAAATCAATTACATTTGACCTAATGATTAAACAGTTATGACCTGCTTTTTCTGAAATTCTACAAGTCAGGTTTAAAATACTGTTTATACATATGGATTCTTGGGTAATTTCTTCTTTATGTTTGGTACTAATATATACAGATGAAACAACGTGTAAGTGGTCACTTGTTACAACTATTTCTCAGAAGAACTTAATAACAACAAATTAATCTGAAGTTTCTTAACCGATGGCATCACAGCAAAGAGTCCACACTGCATTAAGAAAAATAGGTATAATCATACATACAAGTATACAACTTAGAAACTCCTACTACAAAAACCTAGTTTCTGGCACAAGAATAAGTCGAAGAAAACGAAACAAAAAAGACAGATGCATCAACTACAGAACAGAAACTTCACTTGCTATTAAGAGAGGTTGCTGTGAGAAAAAGAGAGGCCACAAGAGAATTCCTGGAATTTTAACTTATTTGTGAGAGAATAAGNGAAAACGAAACAAAAAAGACAGATGCATCAACTACAGAACAGAAACTTCACTTGCTATTAAGAGAGGTTGCTGTGAAAAAAAGAGAGGCCACAAGAGAATTCCTGGAATTTTAACTTATTTGTGAGAGAATAAGTGGCAATTAACTTCACTTGCTAAGAGGTCAACCCAAAAAACAACATTCCAACACTATTAATGAGAATAATTGAAAACATGATTTTCTTTCAAAATAATTCTCCAATTTCAGATGGTGAAAGCCAATCAAACAAGTACTATCACTAAAAAGGTTTTGAGGCAATGTAGAATTCAAGCATCGTTAATATTCAAAAGATTCGTCACAAGTTTAGGGATGAATTTTGACTTCAAAGTAATGCATTCATTCGTGCATCCTCTTGAGCTTAGATGCCATCCAAAACAAAGTAAACAAATGGACCATCCAATTCTATTATGATAACGTGTGCAAAAGCTTCTTAAATCATAGAACTAGGAGGAAACAATGATCCTAATTTTTTTCTAGTTAAAGCAACAGAAAGGAGGCATAATCACCTGGATCTTTCTCTGACGGCTTTAAAATAAAGGTATTACCACATGTAACTGCTATCGGAAACATCTACAGAAAAATCATAAAATGGGCAGAACAATCATTTTTTCCTTCATTAGGCTAATGAAGTCAATTGACCACCACAACAACCAGAAGATATGTATATATGGGAAATCAATAACAATAATACAGATTGTGAAGATGGCAATATAGAGGTTCATCATTAAATTTGTCTTAAACAGTGACAAAAGTGAAACCATGCCTAGCAGCTTATTTGGAAATGAGTAGCACTCTACATAGAGAAACTGTGGCATACAAAGAGGAAAAAGGAGAAATATGACAGGCTTACCCACAAAGGAACCATCGCCGGAAAGTTAAAAGGACAAATCCCAGCACAAAGACCAAGTGGCTCTCTAATACTGTACGTATCAATTCCATTTGAGAAGTTTGAAACAAATTCCCCCATTTGAAGAGTTGCCATTGCACAAGCATGTTCCACCACCTCTACAAGAGAACATCTGTGAATTTGAAGTAACCCAACCACCAGCAGTTGGGCCAGAGACAATAAAATAGTGTTAAATGGCAACAGGTATTTAAGTTACTCACCAAGGCCACGGGACACATCATTATAGGCATCCTTTAATGTCTTACCCTGCTCAGTAGTAATAGTCATGGCAATCTTATCCTATAAGAGATAAATACAAGTATTTCAATCAGTTAAAAATTGGAAGTTTCGATAAATGGGATTACAACACACTTACAAAATCCCTTCGAATAAGTTCTTGAAGCTTGAACATGATGCGCTGACGGTTAGTAACGGGTGTGTTCCGCCACAATGGAAAAGCCCGTTTTGCTGCAAATACTGCAGCCCTAAATTCTTCACTAGTAGTTAAAGGAACTTGAGAGACCACTTGCTGTGTAGCCTGCAATTAATTTATAATATATATCAATTGTTCACAAAAATCAGAAAGGACAAAGGAAAAAAAAAGTAAAAAATTTAGGAAGTATTTCGTACTTACGGGATTTATTACATCAATGGATGTTGATGATTGTGAGTCAACAAATCTACCGCCAATGAGATTTGGGACCCTCTGAAAGATATAGTCAAATAGTTCTTGTCAGTTAACTTCAAAAGTAAAGCCCACCCCGCACCACCAAAAGAAAAGACAAAACCCTGACCTCAGCCCCCCAAAATCTGACAAAGTAGAAGTGCAGGGTGTTTTTTTTTTTTTTTTTTTTTTTGGGGGGGGGGGAGGTGGGGGAGGGAAAGAGAGACAGAGAGAAAAGGCTGGATTAAGTTAAGGGTGCTGAATTAAGAAATAATCAAAAAAGTAACAAATGCTGTTTTAGGCAACAATAATCATGTTTAATGTTAATTATAGTTTACTAACCTTCTGCGTAGATGCCCTATGCAGAAAAGTGTGGTTTATTTTTCCATTGCACTACTGATGCACTAAAGTTACAATTAAATCCGGGACTTTTTTTTTTTTGTTTTGGCAATAGCGTGTAAACTTCAATTTATGCTCAACCTCATATGGCTCATTCCCATAATATTCAAATATCATTCTTTTGTTATGTTTCGTGAATCAAAATGATTATTTACTTATATATTAGGCCAACACATTTTTTGATTAAAAAAACAAAGTAATCTTTTTATCAAAGTCATCTACAAAATTCTGAAATAGATGGGCCAACTGAACATATTGTGCAATGTGAGGGTATCCAAAAACAGACTGGGAGCAGTAAGGTATGTCTTGTGAGCCACTGGAAGAATAAAAATCACGATATTCACCAGAAAAACCAAAAGAAGGATTTTGAGTATGTGCCAATACAACAGGGTTTCCTTGAGCTCTTAGGTATCCACTAATTATTTCATCATTCTCCTCACATCCATATACATTTGAGGGGGCCACAAGTTTCAGTATATATTCACAACTTGCCTGAATAATCAATGGGACAAAAGAAGACTTCTTAGCTTGGGAGGTATGGCCCTTGCCAGACCCCCTCTGCCCTCAACAAACCCTATTCCATATTTTTTTCAGTCTCTATGCATATATATATGTATATGTATATATGCTCGCACAACAAGACAAGAAAAAACCTTGAGTTGAGTNCATGGCCCTTGCCAGACCCCCTCTGCCCTCAACAAACCCTATTCCATATTTTTTTCAGTCTCTATGCATATGTATATGTATATGTATATATGCTCGCACAACAAGACAAGAAAAAACCTTGAGTTGAGTTGAGTCACAGGTGTGCTCACCGGAGGGTGGCGTTTCCTCCAAGAAGGGTCAGTAGTTGAGGGAGAGTTTCCCTCGGCAGATGTCTGAGGCTTCAATGATTTAAATCTTCTCACTGTAACACAAACATAATGAAGGATATTACAAGGGATGCGCAAGTCTAAAAGGACTGATTGATTTCCACTACAAAAAAAAAATGATAATAATAATACACTAATCCTCAGCTTTTACGATGATTAAGCCTTCTCAGAGACAAACTTAAACNAGAAGTATATTACAAGGGATGCGCAAGTCTAAAAGGACTGACTGATTTCCACTACAAAAAAAAAATGATAATAATAATACACTAATCCTCAGCTTTTACNTGAAGGATATTACAAGGGATGCGCAAGTCTAAAAGGACTGATTGATTTCCACTACAAAAAAAAAATGATAATAATAATACACTAATCCTCAGCTTTTACGATGATTAAGCCTTCTCAGAGACAAACTTAAACATTTCAACCATTTTTCTATTAGCCATTTGCTATCATTCATCCTCAAAACAGAATGTTTTCGAAAATATGAAATGCATATGTAGAGGCAAGAATCCTAAACGAACAACAAAACTTCTTTATGAAACTGCTTCTAAAAGCTGAAAATTTTCTGTCGGATTGTCAATCCCCCATTTGTCATCCAACAGCACATGGAGCACCAGGGGCATAGAAATGGACAAGCTTGACGAACACCGAGCCCTCCCTTTTTTAAAGGAAATGTCAACCAATAACAGGACAACTTGCACCAGAAAACACCCTCCCACTTCCTCTCAAGAGACAAAATAGGTACATGACAAGCCAATACCAAGCACTTCAAGGGCATGAGGCCATGAGCAGTTCATAGCTGGTCCCACACCGACCCAAAAGAGGAATTGTAGCCCCTGTTCCAAAGTTGATCTATGCAAAGAGGATTGTCATAAATAGATCAGGTGGCATGCCTTGGCCATGATGTTATAATCTACTTCCCAGTTCCCATAGACATCAGGTAGCTCCACCAGTACCAAAAATTTGAGTGCAAGCCTTCATTCGAATGAAACACACCTCCCCCCTCCCCGAGGGGCCATGGGAGGTTGTGTAACCAAATAAACTAACACAAGCTGAAGGATCAGGAAAAAATAAAAGAGGAGAGACTAATCTGCCCTTCAACAAAAAAGTTACATACTTGAGACGATCTCTATCTTTTTTATCCCACTTTTTTTTTGGGGGGCTAGGTGACTACAAGAAGAAAGGAAGAGAGAAATCTTGGGATGATCCCAAATTAAAAAATGGTAAAAGAGCTTGGCATGAAGTAACACACAGCTTAAGAACTAAGAGGGGGTTTAACAGGTAAAGAAGAAAAGAAAGAAAGCTAAAATTTGAGAAGTATGGGAGAAGAGGCTCAACCTGTAAGATTTCCTTGTCGGAGTTTAGCTTTAACGTTGTAAACATGCTTTGGTGTTGATAAAAGCTCTGGATTGCTTTGTCTCAGTCGCTTTAAAATTTGGCGTGGTTTTAAACCAGCTTCTGTCATCTCTTTAATGAGCAATATTTCTTTCTCTGTGAAGCGGCGAGCAGAGGGATGCTCCGAAATGTCCTTTAAAGCTTCATGGTTGTGTGAACCATTTTTAATCGTAAGTACCCATAAGCCATCTTCCTTTTTACCCACAAGTTCGAAAGGACAGTTGGTAAGCCGAGAACCAGTTTTCCTTTTGCGGAGATGTTCGCCAGAGACCTCGTCAATGGACTTACGCCTATTACGATAAACACCTCCCCTGTCACAGCCAAGAACTACCACTTTGTCCTTCTTAGACTGCTTGATAGTAACAATATATCCCTGGGTTACTGCAAACTCCCCAACATGTTGGATGAGTTCTTCACGGTCAACGAAACTGCCAGGGGGAGGTGGAAGCATTTGTGGGTCTTCGCTTAACTCAGCGTAACTGTCCATTACAAATAGCCGAAGGGGAAGACCTGTATTAAATTTGGTATTAGCACACCAATGTTACATACTTGACAAACATGACCGCAAAACGCTGCCTGGTTGCCATAATAGAAGAGGGAGAACAAATCTTGGCATCTTATAATTATTATAACTACAACAAAGGCCAAAAAAGCACAACTTGATGAATCTTACGCCACCGGTTGGTCAACATGCACTTCCCCACTACAGCAATGTGGTGGTAACACTAGCAGAGGTGGTGTAAGAGGTGGTGACTACAACTGTGGGAAATTCCAGAGTATTGTTTAAAAGAAAAAGAAACAATGGNGTGCACTTCCCCACTACAGCAATGTGGTGGTAACACTAGCAGAGGTGGTGTAAGAGGTGACTACAACTGTGGGAAATTCCAGAGTATTGTTTAAAAGAAAAAGAAACAATGGAACAGGAAAGAGGAGCAAAAAACAGTTCTTGTAGTATGGCCACAAATCAAATGGAAGGGCAAACCCGTACTCATATATTTAACTCAAAAATTGTAAATTCCGAAATTAAGTCACCTCAATCAAGTCAATTATTTTGGTTTTTTAAAACCAAAAACAGATTGTGCAATATTTCAAAACTTCTATCCTTCATTTTTTCTGGTTAACCAATTTGGGTGTTGAGTAAAGATCAGCTCAACAAGAAGCATAACATCTGAATCATGAGAGCATGGACCTGGGCCTTAAAGTTTAATACCTCCATTGAAGTTTGGAATATATTTGGTGATGAAATGAGGTTTAATTTCACTTCCACATGAATACCCACTTCTTTAAAGAGAAAGGGGGATGAGCATGGAAAGGAGAGAAAAGACAGACAGCTTCATCTATTTCAGGAGCATAGGCAAACTAGAGGATCTAACTACTTCGTACAGTATGTTACAGCAATTCCTCATGACCGGCATTGGGGTGATAGATTCAATTGAATGAATGATATTTCGATCAGAGTTGTAATTTCAAATCAGTATGTACTTCTGCTCATTACTAGCCTAGCAACAAGCCATATAAAACAAGACAGAGGCAACTAATGATGGCAAACCAGTGGGAAAGATGCTGATCATCAAGGCGGTGAGGTGGAAAAAACAAATAGCAAGAACAAAGCATCATATTTAGTTAGTCAATGTTCTCCTTTGCCCGAGGCGTATACAAACATTTTGATGTGTGTTTTTAACCAGTAGTTTAAGACAATTTTGCATATTGCTTTTGGTTCATTATAACAGCGAAAGCCAAAAGGCACTACGACTATGTAAGCACATACCATAGCAGCATTGGTGGTGATCAAAGACGAAATTATGATGGAGCCCAGGGGAGCATGACCTCACCATACTCAAAAAGAACCCCTAGATATCAACAGTCCCTGAAGAATAACCTCCATTTCTGTAGTACATTGCCCCACAAGACAATTTCTACAGCAAGTGTGCTTAGTCTTCCACACACCTACCACTGACTCTCTCTATAAATTATTCTCCAACTAATAAAACAACATAATGTTGTCATCCATTTTGATTCTTTCATTAAGATTGTCTCTAGGTAAATAAGAAACTAACTGAAATGATATTGTTAGAGTTGCAATAAGTATACCATCTTAAGGGTTTAACCTACTTGCTTTTCCAAACTTCTTCTCTCTCAATAAACTCTAAACCCTAAACCCTAACTTTAACATGGTATCATAACTGGGTCTTAGGTAATTGATGGACTAAAAGAATCTACCCAGTTGAATTCCCCAGTGTGTTAATCTGTCTATTTAGGTATCTATTTCAGTTTGGTTTGTTAGCTCGCATGCAAGTCCAAGTCCCACGTGGGAGGAAGTGAAGAGAGCTATCCTACATTGAAAAATAAAGTAAACCCAAGATTGGTTTATATACTTGAAAGGCTACTCCACCCTTGTCAATTGGTTTTGGGTTGGATGCTCCAACAACTACAACTAAATGGCATGCTTTTCTGAGTACTAATATTGTCAAAACAAGGCTTCACAGCAAGATGGATGATTATTTTCATATAAACATAACATTTCGATCATGTACATAGAAAAGGAAGTTACTTATACATTTAGTAGGAATCCAAAGAATTCAATGATGGAAAATTACACCGAGTTCCACTTTGATAGGCGGCTTAGGGCAACTCCCAGAGTCCTATAGCTAACTAAGGCAGTCTGGATGCTATCAAAGAGTTAAGGATTGTTCATAACTCTCCCCAAATTTAGCTTCTCCCGAGAAATGGTAAACTTGATCAAAGCATGTATCAATGGGCCTTGTATTGCCCCGTCAACGGCACTTATCGACTCAAAGGCAGATTTCTTCAAGGCGAGTCGTCTGACAAGGATGTACCTTTTACAACGGCCACCTACTTGTTCATTCTATAAGATCTTGGTTCCGTCGTTGATGGTGATAGTTGATGGTGGTGATGAAGGTATCAGAAATAGTTTAGCTTCANAGCACTTATCGACTCTAAGGCAGATTTCTTCAAGGCGAGTCGTCTAACAAGGATGTACCTTTTACAACGGCCACCTACTTGTTCATTCTATAAGATCTTGGTTCCATCGTTGATGGTGATAGTTGATGGTGGTGATGAAGGTATCAGAAATAGTTTAGCTTCAAGGTGGTAGAATGACTTCATGGTATTGACGAAACAGGTGGTTACGCTGAAAGCAGTTGGTCGGACAAAATGAGCTGGCCTGACAAATTGAGGGAAAGCCTCCAAAATACGATGACTTTTTAAGCCCATATCAAACATAAAATGTAAGCCAACACTCAATACAAAATTCCAGAATTAGAATTTGAAACCCACAACTTCTCAACATCAGATGTTGGAGAGGAATGATGGAAAACAAATGGACTAAGAGATAGAGAGAGACCTTCTCAGATGAACTTTTATAAGATGTTGTGATGGACAGCCATGGTACTTAAAAATTTCTCTAAGGAATCAAATCTTATCATTTTCTACATAAAATAAGAAAAGTGCTTGATAAATGAAGTCCCACCTATCAAGAGGTCAGGCAAAATCGTCCACTTATGTAAATCAAAAAAGAAAAATCTACGAAAAGTTATTATGAAGATTCAAAAATAAAAATTTTTGTTAAAGCAAATGTTATTTGTGGGTGGGATTCGTAAGAAAATGACTTTGACTTCGACATTGAACTTAACTCTAAACTCAAGATGCGGAAACATAGTCAAAGAAGAGAGACTGGATGGATCAATCTGGGCTTCAGTTGGATAGAATCAGAGGACAAAGCAAGGGCATTACTTTCCAGTTTAAAAAACTCAATCAAGTCCAAAAACAAAAGGAATGAATGCTCACATTCTTAAAAATTAGGGAAAGTTAAATCTCAAGGAGCATTTTGTTTTGTATAACACAACTAAAATTCAACATCTCTAATATGTTCTGCATTTTGTTTGCGACACTTCCTTCACCAATGGAAGTCCATTATTGTAGGCAAAGAAATAGAATTTTGGATTTAATGGAATTGATCAATTTTAGCTTTTCATGATTCCACAAATTGATATAGTTTTCACCTTTTTATCCCCAGTTTTCATCTATACTGAGCTTCTATTAACTATTTTACCCAACAACAATGACTCCCAATTATGCCAACTTGAGATTTAAGTGATCTAAAGCAAATATGCAAAACTAATTTGGGCTTGATATCACAATGCTGTCTAACAAAACATGTCTTTAAGATTAACAGGTAAAATANGGATTGATAGGAAAATTAAGATAAACTCTTACTTGGCGATTCACGGTCTCAAGTGATCTAAAGCAAATATGCAAAACTAATTTGGGCTTGATATCACAATGCTGTCTAACAAAACATGTCTTTAAGATTAACAGGTAAAATAAAGTGCTTGAAGATCAATGTTAAAGTGCGATTGATTGGTGATAGTAGAAGAAAATGTATTCACATTTGTTGTTTAACTCTGATATTTCATGTGTGAGACAATGACAAAGTATTGTGAATTGTTCAAAGTGATCCCAAACATGTGGTTACTTACATTCTAATCAAATTACAACTTCAGAATATCTATATTTCATTCCTTCAAAATCCTATGTGCGTATGGTTAGCATGAGATTTCCTACTTTTTCTGACTATATCTTTCTACCCTTAAGTCTTAACACGATCATTTATTACCTCAACTGATGTCTGATTTGTTTCTCTTCTTGGAGCAGATGGGTGGAAATTGTTCCATTGGATGAGAAAAGCTGTAGAATACCATATGTTACTGACATACAGACCATCATATTTGGAGCAAATGCGACTCATCCAGATAACGGAGAAGACGCCGGTCTCTCGATAACTGCTTTATAGTTCCTTGACTTGAATCCCGACAATCAGAATATTTTTCTTGCAGGGATCATTGTAAACTGGTTGTTAAAACATCATTTTTTGAATGTAGGTAGTCGCTAGGTTTCAGAGTTGTGAATTTGGGTTACATGTTCTCTAATTGACTATCATTGTCATATATAAAGAATTTAAATCTTGCCTTTTATCAGGCATATGTCCAACCTAGATCATGAAACGAACATCAGCATTTACTAAAGTTATGGATTTTGAGAAAAGTGTCTATGGCTTCAACATGTAATATTTTATATATACAATAAGCCTCGTGTTGCACGTGTGCATCAACTAGTTTTATAAAATGCCCACATGAAGATGACCCAGATACATTAAGAAACTGAGTATAGGTANGAACATCAGCATTTACTAAAGTTATGGATTTTGAGAAAAGTGTCTATGGCTTCAACATGTAATATTTTATATTTACAATAAGCCTCGTGTTGCACGTGTGCATCAACTAGTTTTATAAAATGCCCACATGAAGATGACCCAGATACATTAAGAAACTGAGTATAGGTAATCTATTTTCAGTAGAAGCACAACCTCGCTCTCCATCATGGTTCAAGGTATTGGCCGAGTCCGAGACGACTACGACTCGGCCACGGCCACTGTCGATACGAAAACGGTACGCAGTACGGAAAAATGATGCTTTGATCAGATATCGCCGAGATC